TTATCACTAAATGAAGCAAAAATTAAGTTGAAAGTAAGAAAATAGAGTTCCGGCGTCGTAGCAGCGATGTGTCAATGATGCACTGGAATCTTGAGCATTCGGGAAGATAGTCGTGCAGTGTCCACGGCCTCAAAGGCTCTCTTTGGACAAGGATGATGTGGGCAATCTCTAGATCTCCTTGCGAAGTCTAGAGATCAATGAAATGGGTCGTCGAATTGTCTCTGGCGGAGCGGAAAAATGGTGACTTTGTAGCTCTCCAGCGGCTATCACCCAACGAAGAGAAGCTGGATGGAGGTGGGGCGCGTGTTAGGGAGCTTCATCCTCAAGTCCGCACAACAAGAGGAGGTTCTTCATCGCATCCGGTACGCTCTCAAGAGGTGGCAACTCGTCTCTCGGTGGATTGTCCTCTTCTCGACGATGGCTTGTTCGTCGATCAATCAGAGATGCTTTACTCGATGGATTCACGATCTTTTTATCGCGAATTGTTCAGTAATTTTAGTAACAACGCTCCGCGAATTGCATTGACGAGATTTTCGCCGATGATCTAGTGATTCTAGCAGCTTAATCCTTCACCGGCGATCTGTAGGAAAGTCATGATAATCAGATAAAAAAATATGAGTTTTGGTTTTAGGAAGATTCGAACTGGTGCCGGTTGTCCGCCTGTATGAGAGAGATTGACATAAGTACTTTAATGCGCTTATAAAATGATGTCATCATGGTATATCTTTGTTATAAATAAGGGGTATTGTAGGTATTCACCCGAAACTTTGTGCGCTAAAGTTTCGGGTGAATATATACTAATATTATATTTACAAGTAAGTCCCTTTCTCTAGTGTGTACGACCACTCCTTGCCCCACGGTCAGCTAGTCACTAGTAATGTGGAAGGGGAGTGGCGTACATGTGCCCCTGTCGGTCCTAGCCACTCAAGCCCCTACTTGCGGCTCCTCCCCGACTGCACTTCCAACCCACTTGCGGGCCCGGTTAGCTAGTGAGTACCCCCCATTTTACTACATTTTTATTTTTATTTCTTTTTTTTCATTTATCTCAAAAGTAAGACTGTAAAAATCATATAAATTCATATAAAATCACATAATTAGCCAAAATTCACGTTAATCAACTGAAAACCACTTTTCACACTTTAACACAAATATAAGTCTATTTGTCTTGAGTTAAGACTAAAACTATATTATTTACTAATTATTGACTCATGATAATGAAGACTTATCAATAGACAACCTATATTATTCTATGAAGGTGACACTCTAATCCTCCTCTTAATCTCATCTTAAGGTGTCCTATGATGGAAGGCTTAGATCTTATCTATTGATAGCCTTTTTAAGTCCAAATGGGCTAAACCAAGGTCATGTGCTGCTTAAGATCCAAATTGACTTGACTAAGATGATGCCCTCTCTTGAGCCCATAAAGATATTAAGTCGGCCCTCCGCATAAAACATAGGCTTTTTCTTGAGTTGAAAACTTGAGTTTCTTCTATTACTTCCAACTCATAATAAGAGCTCACCTAAGTCATGACAGTCAAATAATTATCAAGAAAATATGAGAGAATCACTACTTGACTTCATAAAAGTCATGTGGGGTTAGTCTCATAATATTAATAAAATAAGTAAAATAATATATATTAGGACTTAAATAATAAAACATTATGAATGTCATAATGAGTCAATAACACATGTATAAATATATTTTTTACCCACTAATAAGTATCTATATATAAGATATTAATGTATAGATGTAACTACTAATTTATAAATCAATGACCTGCTTGTATAGTGATATGAGGTAAATCTAAAAACTTCTTCTTGTTCTTTCTTGCTCTTAGGGCTGCACGAGGTTATTTTTAACCTCTCTCAAGATTAAAAATAGAAATGACTAAGGAAAGAAATTGAAGATGCTAGCCCACTTATTCGATCTCCATCACTTCCCTTCCCTTTTTTAGGGGTCCCTCATAACTCTCATTAATTACATGATAAAATGTTTAATATTTATAATTTATTATTTTATTTTACATAAATATTTATAAATTATTTTAATCTAGAAAAAATGATATTAAACTTATTTATATGATTATATTTTTAATTTCTAGAAATTACATGATGAAATTGTCTAATATTATTATCAAAATGCTTCTATGTTAATTGCATTTATTTCTGAATTTTTCCTAATTTGTTTTGATTTTTTCTGAGCTTATTATGATAAATAATAATATAAGAATAAAAAGAAAATATGAAACTAATTTCTTTTTTTAGGTTTTCCGCATCAATGACGAACGTAACAAATATAATGAGATGTTCGGCTAATGATTCGACGAAATCGACAGAATTAATGCACATGAAGATTGAAAATACTAGGAGGAGGAAGGATAGGCATCTTCAATCAATCTATCGCTCTCCACAACTATTTTCTCTCTCCTCCAATGGCGACGAGCACTGGATTTGCCCAAATCATCTATCTGATACAAACGATAGATTTCTTCTTGACTTCTCCTTGATTCAATTGCTACAGAAGCTGAACTTCATCCACGAGCTCGTCCCATTCTTCACTCGATACAAATGGCGAGGAATTTCTTCTGAGGATCCTTCACTGAACACCACGGCACGCTCGGAGTAGAACCACTCCCGTCAACCAATTCCAATAAGTGAAAGTTGTTGGAATCGCCATTCATCGACTAGAGATTATGTAGGAATCCATTCGGTGCACCATGTCTGCACAAATCGATCAAATTCGGGTGAAAATTTGGTTGTCAACCGTTCCGCCTGTTCTTCCATAAAACTTTAATCTTTGGATGATTTTACTTTCTTTTTAATTTATTAAAGTTCCAATCAGTTCTACATTGTGTTCCGAAGAATTTCTCTTTTAAAATAAAATTTTATTTCTAAGTATGTTGGCTTTGATTTTGAGAAATACGAGTCATAATCTATCAATTGGAAACTATAATCCCTAATTTTATTTTTAAATTATATTTATTAATTTTTTCAATTAAAAAATCAAAAAAATAATCTATCATTTGGAAATTATAAATATAGTTAATTAATTTCTTATCTTTCTTGTGTTCGATGTAGAAAAACCCTATAAAGTTAAATTGTGCTAAATTGGCTTATTTTTCTGCATTTATAAATTATAAATTTACTGAAATTTCTTTAGAGTGATAGAAAATATTCAGTCAAATTTTTGTGCCATTGCTAGGGAGGATTTTTCAAAATTAGTTTTTTTATGATTCTTGTGATAGAGAAAAAAATAGGTATTTCTAAAATATTTGATAGCTCTATTTATTTATTTATTTTCAGTTTTTATCATTTTATTAGTTTATTATTTGCTTCTTTTTTTTTCTTTTTTTTTTTTGTGTGGTGCATGCAATGTAGGAGATCATTAAACCCAAGGTTAGAATTTTCTGAATTTAGAAAGAAAAAGTCATCTACTAGAAAATTTAAAAATATGAATCCTGAAAATATAAAAATACTAAAATGGTAATCAACAACCTAGATTATTGAAAGATAATTTTACTCCATATCCATGTGAAGACCTGTTGCAAAACCCTATTTGTACTAAAGAAATTAAACTTAGTATCTATCAAATGTTACCTAGTTTTTTATGGCCATCAACATGAAGATCGTTATGCTCATCTTAGAGAATTTCAAAGAATTTGTGCTACCATTAAGAAAGTGGATGATTCAAAGAGATTAACTTTATTTCCATTTTCTCTTAAGGATGAAGCTAGTTATTAGTTTTCTACTTTAGATGGAAACAATAGAACATGGGCTACATTATTGCAAGATTTTCTGAATTGATTTTATTCTAGAGAACAAACCAAAACTACGAGAAAGGCAATTTTAGATTTTTCAGAAAATTCAGGAGAAGCTTTTCATGAGGCATGGGCTAGAATGAAAAACTTGATGAGAAAATGTCCACATCATGGTATTCCTAAAAGTCAAATAGTTGAAATGTTTTATGATGGATTACTTCCCCCTTTTAAGCAAATGGTAGATGGAGCATGTGGGGGACTATTTTTCAATTGAAGTGAAGATGATACATATAATGTTTTAGAAAACTTGAGTGAAAATTCGATGAATCATGCCTTTGCATCTAATTACAATAGAAGTTCATCTAGAAGGGGAGGAATAATTGATACAAGAAATTTTGAGGATATAGAATTGAAATCTGATTTGAGAGAAATTAGACCGCAAGTGAATGACATGAAATCATTGTATGAAAAATTTAATATTTTCATGACTAAAAATAATTTTAATTCTTCTCCTTTGTCATATTTAGCTTGCTCAATATGTGAAGATAAGAGACATAATGAAGAAATTGTCCACATGTTGAACAATCTGAATCATCGAATATAGCTGAAGTTAAAGCTACATATGGATATTCTAAATTTAATTCTCCTACCAATGAATACAATCCTAATTGGAGAAATCACCCAAATTTTCTTGGAAAAATTCAAATAATATCCAAAACCCGTAAGCTTTGAAATCTCAATTTTTCCAAAATAAACTTGCTGAAAAAAAACTTAGATCTATGCAAGTTCCTCTGATTCATTCATCTAATGTTCATTTAACTCATCATATCTTACTGAAAACTTGTGTTGCATATCTTACTGAAATTTTCTATGAGCATGTTGCAGCAAATGATGAGTTAAATGATGCAAAATCAAATGAGTTTTCAGTAAGATATGCAACACAAGTTTGAGCAGCAGCAACAACAATTTCAAGAAAGTATGATGCAAATGGAACAAAGGATAGCTACAAATTCAACAAAAAGATAAATAAGTCAACCAAGACAACTTCCAAGTCAGACCTTACCAAATCCAAATAGTCAACAACAAGAATTTCAACAAGGAGAACCTAATTTGAGAAACAAGTATAAAGTACCTCAAAAAGAACAAATCAAGGTGGTCACCACATTGAGAAGTGAAAAAATTCTCAACAATCCATATGAAGAGAAAAAGCATGCAGAAAAAAGACTTGAAATATGTGAAGAGATGGAAAAAACACATGAGAATGAAGAGCCAACAATTGTGGAAGATGAAAAACAAGAGCAACTACAACAATTTAAGGAGGCAACGGAGAAAGTTTCACCAAAATCCAAGACTGTCCCCTTTCCAGATGTATTGAAATCAAAGTAGAAAAAGAAATCAAAAGTGAATGAAAATTTACATAAATTTTTTCAAGATGTTTATATTAAAGTTCCTCTTTTTCAGGCGGTGGAGGATATTCCAATGTATGTAAAATTTTAGAAGGAACTTTGCACACCAAAGAGAGCACCAAGAACTGAAAAATTATCTACTAATGTAAGTGCCATGTTGCTGAATCAAATGCCACAAAAGCTTGACCCAAGTGCACCTTTAATATCTTGTAATATTGATGGATATAATTTTAAAATACATTTTTAGATTTGGGTGCTAGTATTAATTTATTACCTGCAGTAGTTTGTGAATATTTTTAAGTTTATAATTTAAAACCATCTTCTATTGTGCTTCAATTTGCAGATTTATCTGTTAAAAATGCAAACAGAATGTTAGAAGATGTAGTTGTAACTGTGAAAGAATTTCATTTCCTGCTGATTTTTTGGTTTTAGAAATGAATTCACATTTTGAATTGAGTGAAATGCCTATTATTTTAGGTAGATCACTTTTGAATACTGCTCAAATAAACATTGATGTCCCAACAGGAATAGCAAAAATCAAATGTGGAGATCAAATTGTGGAAATTAAAATTTTGAAAGAGCAGAAAATTTAGCAAGTACAAAAAAATTTGAGTGTCATAAAATAGATTTGATGCAAACTTGTGAAGTTGAGGAAACGAATGAAATGAATGATGTGGATGATTGTGTGCAGAAAATTTTTGACAATCAAGAAATTAAATATTCATGGGATTTTGAAGAATTTCAGGCACAATTTGGATTATTAGAAGAAGCTGAAAAAAATACAGAAAAATTAGAAGAACTTTTTGGATTTAAAGAAAGTAATATTAAAAAAATAAGTAATCCTAAATTAGAGCTTAAAGAATTAACTAATAAATTAAAATATGCATTCTTAGAACAAAATCAATCATTTCGTATTATTATTGCCACAGATTTTGAGGAATATCAAGAAATGAGACTAGAACTTTTGAGGAAATATTAAAAAGAAATTGGTTGGGAGATAGCTGATTTGAAGGGAATAAATCCAGATATAGGCACACATCATATCTGTTTAGAAGAAGGAGCTAAACCTAGTAGACAACCTCAAAGAAGATTAAATCTAAATATTATGGAGGTAGTGAAGAATGAAATTGTGAAATGGCTTGATGCTGGTTTTATTTATCCAATTTTCGATAGCAAGTGGGTGAGACCTATTCAACTGGTTCCAAAAAAATTTGAATTGACTGTAATAAAAAATGAAAAAAGAGAAGATTTTTAAACAAGATTAACCACTGGTTGGTGAGTTTGCATCGATTATCAAAAACTAAATACAAAAACTAAAAAGATCATTTTCCTTTACCATTTGTAGATCAAATTTTAGAAAAGTTAGCAGGTCAAAAATATTTTTGATTCTTGGATGGATATTCAGGTTATAATCAGATTTTTATTTCTTTAGATGATCAAGAAAAGACCACATTGACATGTCCTTTTGGTACTTTTGCATTTAAGAGGATGTCTTTTGGTCTTTGTAATGCCCCATCTACTTTTCAACGTTGCATGATTTAAATTTTTTCAGAAATGATAGGAAATGATATAGAAGTACTTATGGATGATTTTTCTGTATTTAGAAATTCCTTTGATAAATGCTTGCATAATTTTGAAGAGGCTCTTAAGAAATGCATAGAAAAGAATATAGTTTTGAGTTGGGAAAAGAGTCATTTTATGGTAAAAGGAGTGGTTTTGGGTCATGTGGTAAGTGATAAAGGAATAGAAGTTGATAGAGCTAAAATTGAAATTATTTCTAAATTACAAGCTCCAACTTCTATTAAACAAGTTTGTTCATTTTTAGGTCATGCTGGATTTTATAAGAGATTTATCAAAGATTTTTCAAAAATAGTCAAACCACTTACTTCACTCTTAGCTAAAGATGTACCATTCTTTTTTGATGACTCTTATTTACATGCATTCAATTTAATTAAGAAACTATTGACTGAAGCACCTATTTTATAGTCTCAAAATTGGTCTTTACCATTTGAAATCATGTGTGACGCATCTAACCAAACTATTGGGCTGTCTTAGGGCAAAGAATTGATAGAAAATCTGTGGTAATAACATATGCAAGTAAAACAATTTCTAATGCTCAATTAAATTATACAGCCACAGAAAAAAATTTATTAGCAATTTTCTTTGCATTAGAAAAATTTAGATCTTATATTTTAAGATCTAAAATTATTATTTATTCTGATCATGCTGTACTTAAATTTCTTCTTACTAAAAATGATACTAAATCATGTCTCTTGAGATGGATTTTATTGCTTCAAGAATTCGATTTGGAAATTAAAGATTAAAAAAGTTTTGAGAATGTGGTAGCTGATCATTTGTCAAGATAAAGTACTACAGAGGCTGATATCATTCCTTTACATGATTCATTCCCTGACAAGCAAATTTTAGCAATTCAACAACAAAAACATCCATGGTATGCTCATATTGTAAATTTTTTAGCTTCAAATCAGTTGCTAGAATTTTGGAAAAAATCTAAACATGATTATTTCTTTGCTAGAATCAAAAGATATTTTTGGAATGAACCTAATTTATTTTATCTAGGATCAGATCAAATTTTCAGATGATGTGTACTAGAGGATGAACAATCTAATATCTTGAAAATCTGTCATGCATCTAATTCTGGTAGTCATTTCTCTAGAAAGAAGACTGCTTTAAAAATTTTATATTGTGGATTTTTTTGGCCTTCTTTATTTAAGGATGCTCATTATTTTCGTAAAACATGTCATTCATGTCAGTCATTTGCAAATTTAAGTAAGCAAGATGAAATGCCTTTACAACCTATTTTGATTGTAGTAATTTTTGATGTTTGGGGAATTGATTTCATGGGTCCTTTTCCACTTTCATTTGATTTTGAATTTATTTTATTGGCTATAGATTATGTGTCTAAGTGGGTTGAGGCCATTGCTACTAAAAAAAATGATCATATGGTTGTTATGAAATTTATTCAGAGTCATATATTTTCTAGATTTGGTTGTCCCAAAGCTATTATTAGTGATGGAGGAACTCATTTTACACATCGTCAATTTAGAGAATTACTAAGAAAAAATAGTGTAAACCATAGAATGACAACTCATTACCATCCACAAACTAATGGAGAAGCTGAAGTAGCAAATAGAGAAATACAAAGAATCTTAAAGAAAATTGTGAGACCGGATAATAAGGATTGGTCTACAAAACTAGATGATGCTTTGTGGGCTTATCGACCACTTTTAAAACACCTTTGGGAATGTCTCCATTTATGTTAATCTATGAAAAACCATGTCATCTTCCCGTAGAGATTGAGCATAGTGCATTATGGGCATTGACACAAGTGAACATGAACTTGAAAGAGGTTGGAAAAAATAGATTACTACAAATTGAAGAGTTAGAAGAACTTAGAAATGAGACATATCACAATAGCAAAATTTATAAAGCTCGTACTAAAGAATTTCATGATAGATACATTAGAAGAAAACAACTTGAAACAAACCAAAAAGTATGGCTTTATGGTTCTAGACTCAAATTATTTCCAGGAAAATTGAAGTTTAAATAGAGAGGTCTATATATTGTGAAGGAAATTTATGATCATGGTGCTATTCTCATTAAAGATCCCATAGATGGTAGAGAATTTAAGGTAAATGGCCAAAGATTAAAGATTTATTTGGAGAATGAAAAATTAGGAGCCAAAGAATCTATTTCATTATTAGAACCAGAATAAAAACCTGTATACAAATACTTTTACTTTATTTTTAGTTTTTTAGTTAGTATTTCTTTGCTCTTGTTATTTTACTTTATAATAAATGCAGCAAAAAGTTATGGAAGAAAAGAGATGCACGTCAGTGATCAAAAAATATGAATTTAATTGAAATATAAATAGATGATTGAATCAAGATGTGTAGGTGCTATCACTCTAACCTTACCCATTTAAACTTTTATTTTCTAATTTTTTATTTTTTTGATATATATGATTTCTAAAATTTCATAAGTATTTAAATGGTTAGACTTCTTTACATCATTTGGAACAATGCTGATTTTAGTTAAGGGGGTGGAGAGTGAAAATTGAGAAAACTTTTAAATTGTAGAATTTATTTTTTATTATTTTTTTTGAAAATCAGAAATTGTATCCATATATGAAAGAAATTTCACATATCATGGATGGAACCTGAATTGAAGGAAACCCAAATCTGTTTATTTTTGTTTTTGTGAATTTTGCATTACATTAAATAGCCAAATATTATAGAGGAAGTATGTTGAAGGGAATTGGGCTAAGATAAATTAGAAGTCTTGATCTGAAGTGTTCAACTACCTTTAAGTACACAAAATGATCATGAAACTAAAGTTGCCATTTTTTCTCACAGCTTGAAAATTTGTATACTAAGTATTATGATGCAAAGAAATTATGGAAGTAGTCACTTTAAGTAGAAAGTGGGTATGTCAATAGGAGAAAAGAATCAAACTCTATGAATTCCAACAATTTATATTTTCAAACAAAGTGTAGGCCCCATGAAAGGAAAAAAAAGAGAAAAAAAAGAATAAGAAGAAAAGAAATGAGGTCTTCCCAATTGTCTTGTGGAGCTTCCACATGTGCGATTTGGACAAAAAAAAAGAGAGGAAAAACTACCTGTTTGTTATTTATATATTTATATATCTGAATATTGGCATTCCTGATTGATGTTAAAAATGATTATCAAATGAGATCTAAGCTAATTGATATTTAATATTTAAAAATTGATTGGTGAGAAAATGTGCAAAAGAAGAGAAGTGAGAATTTTTGTTGAATCTTTAGGGATAGTTTGAACATGAATGATTAATTTTATTTTTTATTCTTATCTTATGAACCTTAGATATACAAATTTTATAGTAATTTGGTTTATATTTTGTAAGGAGGAATTCTGAAATTTAAACAATAAGAAGAAGAGGAGGACTTAGATTCAGAAACTATGAAATGATATGTGAAATGATTGGACTTTATTCATGAATAGATATAAACTCTTATATCTCTGATTATGCTTTTGATCTAATTGTCAATAGAGAATATTGATTTTTTTGATAAAAAGAAATATTTTTAACACATCATTTAGATCAAAGCATTAGAATGAAATTTGACAAAGTTATATTCAATGAAATAATTACGTCTTTAGTTTTAGCACTAAGGGACTAGCAACGAGGTAAGTTAGGGGTGTGATAACTCCCATTAATTACATGATAAAAAGCTTCATATTTTATTATTTATTATTTAATTTTTTAGAAATATTAGAAATTAATTTTATCTAGAAAAAATGATATTAAAATTATTTATCTGGTTATATTTTTAATTTCTAGAAATTACATGCTGAAATTGACTATGAAATATTTGGATTGGTTTTTCTAATGATTAATATTATTATCAAAATGCTTCTATGTTAATTGCATTTATTTTTAAATTTCTCCTGAATTTTCTTGATTTTTTCTGGGCTTATTACGAGAAATAATAATAATATAATAATAAAATTAAAATACGAGACTAATTTCTTTTTTTAGGTTTTCCACATCAACAAGAGACATAACAAATACAGTGAAAAGTTCAGTGGATGATCTGATGAAATCGACAGAATTAATGTACAAGAAGATTGAAAAATATTAGGAGGAGGAAGGATGGGGCATCTTAGATCAATCTATGGCTCTCCATAGTCATTTTCTCTCTCCTCCAGTGGTGACAAACGCCAAATTCACCCAAATCATCTATCCGATACAAATGATAGATTTCTTCTTGACTTCTCCTTGATTCAATCGCTACAGAAGTTGAACTTCATCAACAAACTCATCAAATTCTTCGCCTAATACAAATGGGGAAGAATTTCTTCTGAGGATCCTTCTCCAAACACTGCGCACGTTCTGAATCAAACCACCGCCATCAACAAGTTCCAGCAAGTGAAAGTTGTTGGAATCGTCATTCATCAACAAGAAATTGTGTAGGAATCCATTTAGTGCACCACACTTGCACAAATCAATCGAATTCAATCGAATTCAATCAAAAATTTGATTGTTGACCATTCCGCCCATTCTTTCGTAAAACTTGAATCTTTGCATGATTTTACTTTCTTTTTAATTTATTAAAGTTCCAATCAGTTCTACATTGTGTTACAAACAATTTCTCTTTTAAAATCATAGTTTATTTTTAATTATGCTGGCTTTGATTTTGAGAAATACGAGTTGACCTATTTTTGGCGACTCAAATTTGGGGGTGTTCTTTGCGGGCTGACATCAGCTGATGTCATAATCCATAATTTCTTATTTTAAAATTATTTTTATTAATTTTCGGAATTAAAAAATCTAAAAATTAATATATCAATTGGAAATTATAAATATAATTAACTAACTTTTTATCTTCCTTGTGTTCAATGTGGAAAAACCCTATAAAATTATTTTTTTCTAAATTGGCTTATTTTTCAGCATTTATAAATTATAAATTTGCTGAATTTTCTTTACAGCGACAAAAAATATTAAGTTAGTCCCCATCATCCCCTTGTCTCGTTCCCCTCACTTCCTTTCTTCTCTGATCTTGCTCCCTAGTTCCCCAAGGAACAAGGAGGACGATGAGGAATGGCAGTAGTCATCTCTCCACCTTCACTTCCAAGTGTGGATGCCACCCTCTCCAATTTCCCTCTTCCGTGGTGCTCTCTAGTTGTCTAGCCCACCACAACCCCATATTTGGCTATGGTTCTTGCTATTGATTATTTCCCATTCTCACCGTATCATTCCTTCCTCCATCGTCCTCCACTTCCTTTCACTTTGCCCAGCCAAGTCTCCTTTTAAAAATTAAACCAACATGTTGACATTTATCAATTTACAATTGTGGCCAACTTTTGAAGAAATTTACATCATTACATGCAGAAATGAGACCCTAAACAAAGTTTGTTGATGGCCCATCTAGAAACATCAATCTATGTTCATGAAAACCATGTAAAACTGAAGTTCCGACATGTGAACTTGTTCATTTTCTATTCTCTATGTCATCTCTTGAAGTTTCTTTCCTAAAGAACCATCAGAAAATTGGGCTTAGGCGAAAATTCTTGAAGCTGAGCTATGATTCTCTAGAAACTACTAAGAAAATTTCTCCAATGGCTATATACGATTGATGTGCTCCCAAAAACATTTGATTTAAGAATCAAACAAGTTTTTAATGAATAGAAATTCTAATCCCTTCCAGTATTCATTTTCTTTTTAAAAAAATATTTGTCAAGTGATGTTTTCGTGTAAAAAGATAATTCTACTAAGCACAAGGCATTTTCGTTCTAGTATTCTAGCAATGAAGTTATTATACATGTCTTATTTATTAAAGAAAGCTCACAACCCACTAATGTATAGACTAACCTTGAATTATGTTGAAGAATCTTGAGTAATGGCAACTAATTAAAATTTAATGAAATATCACCAAATATCAATGGACAAATATAAAAAGGGTGGTGTACGTTACAGCCATTTAACCACTACTAGCATGCTAGTGTGAGTTATGTATAGAAGATGTATATATTGGAAGAAAAAACATACCAAAAAAATTGACTAATTGATAAGTTTTCATTATCATGAGTTAATAATTAGTAAATAATATAGTTTTAGCCTTAACTCATGATAAATAGACTTATATTTGTGTTAAAGTGTGAAAAGTCATTTTTAGTTGATTAACATGAATTTTTGGCTAATTATGTGATTTTATACGAATTTATATGATTTTTATAGTTTTACTTTCGAGATAAATAAAGAAAAAGAAATAAAAATAAAAATATAGCAAAATGGGGGACCCACTGACTAGCCAGGCCCACAAGCAGGTCGGAAGTGTAGTCAGGGAGGAGCCGTGAGCAGGGGCTCGAGTGGCTAAGACTGATAGGGGCACGTGTGCGCCACTCCCCTTCTACGTCACCGGTGGCTAGTCAACTGTGAAGCAAGGAGTGGTCGTACAGAATAGAGAAAGGGACATACTTGTAAATGTAATATTAATATATATTCACCCGAAACTTCGGTGCACAAGTAATGTGGGACAAAACCCTCATGACATCTTCCATAGAAAGGCTTTGATGATTTTAATACCTACAATGTCCCTTATTTATAATAGAGATATATGGTGATGACGTCATTTTATAAGGGCATTAGAATATTTATGTCAATCTCTCTCATGCAGGCATGCAACCAGCGTAGGTTTGAATCTTCCCAAAACCAAAACTCATATTTTCTATCTAATTATTGCGACTTTCCTACAGATTGCCGATGAAGGATTAAGCTGCTAGAATCGTTGAATCATCAGCGAAAATCTCATCAATGTGATTTGCAGAGCATTGTTACTAAAATTATTGAATGATTCGCGATAAAAGGATCGCGAATTCATTAAGTAAATCATCTCCGATTGATCGACGAACAAGCTGTCGTTAGGAAGAAGACGATCTGTCAGAAGACGAGTCACTACCTCTTGAGAGCGTACTGGATGCGATGAAGAGTCTCCTCTTACTATGTAGACCTGAGGATGAAGCTCCTTGACATGCACCCCACCTCCATCCAACTTCTCTTCACCAGGTGACAGCCGCCGGAGATGATTTGACGATCCATTTTATTGATATCTAGACTTTGCAAAGAGATCTAAAGATTGTCCACGTCATCTTTGTCTAAGAAAAGCCTTTGAGGCTATGGACAATACATGACAATCCTCCTGAACGCTTAGGATTCTGGTGCATCATTGACGCATCGCCGCCACGGCATCGGAACTTTATTTTCTTACTTTCAACTTAAATTTTACATCATTTAGTGATAATTTGTGTGATTTAAATTTACCAAGTTATACTTCATTCAATTATGATTTTTCCGACTTTTATAGATCTTAATTTGATCAATTAAATCGTTTGTAATTACTTATGTAATAATCATCGGGTGGAACTCTATTTCTGCCCAATTCGCATTTGCTGGGTGCTGACGTCATCTTGATGTCTGCACCCTTATTTTCCTTTTTCATCAATTTTAACTATATTTTATTTTCATTTTTTAGTATAAAATTCATAGAAAATAGTATTCTTTGAGGAAATTCTGAATAATTATCTGATATTATATTACATCTCTATGATCGACCTAGAAAATTACCACTATTTTTAGAAGTTTGATTAAATTATAATTGATATATTTTTTCAAAAATACTTCTAAATATCTAAAAATTCATATTTTCTAGTTTTATAAATTTTAAATTTACATGATTTACTATATAACAACTAAGTCACATCACTAATTATATTTTTTATCATAAGTTACTCTCAATTATTTGAAAACACTAAATGAGAGCTCCACTTAAATATTTCCATTCATTAGAAAATTAAATATCGAAGGACAAAGAGAGCATGTGTACCAAAACAATGAAAAATCAATAAAAATAATAAAAATATTGAATCAATAAATAAGGTTGCACATAGAGGATCTTAAGACTCCTGTTTCATTGAATGCTCTAAAGGTGAGAGTAAACATAGAGCATTGTAAGCAAGCCTAGTGTGAGGAGTGACGTGACTTAGTCGTTGTATATTAAATCACGTAAATCTAAAATTTATAAAACTAGAAAATACGATTTTTTAGATATTTAGAAGTATTTATGAACAAATATATCAATTATAATTCAATAAAACTTCTAAAAATAGCAGTAATTTTCCAGGTTAATCATAGGGATGTAATATAATATCTAGTAATTATTCAGAATTTTCCTCAGAGAATACTATTTTATATCAATTTTACACTAAGAAATGAAAAAGAAATATATTTAAAATTCACGAAAAAAGAAAATAAGGGTGCGGGCGTCAGGATGACGTCAGTGCCCGGCGAATGCGAATCGGGCAGAAATAGAGTTCCGCTCGACGATTCTTACATAAGCGATTACAAATGATTTAATTGATCAAATTAAGATCTGTAAAAGACAGAAGAATCGTAATGAAATGAATTATATGTTGGTAAATTTAAAATCAATAAATTATCACTAAATGAAACGGAAATTAAGTTGAAAGTAGGAAAACAGAGTTCCGGCGTCGCGGCAGCGATGCGTCGGTGATGCACCAGAATTTTGAGTGTTTGAGAGGATCGTCGTGCAGTGTCCACAGCCTCGAAGGCTCTCCTTGGACAAGGACGATGTGGGCAATCTCTAGATTTTCTCGCGAAGTCTAGAGATTAATGAAATGGGTCTTCGAATCGTCTCCGACGGTTGTCACCTGGCAGAGCAGAAAAATAGTAACTTTGCGGCTCTCTGGCAGCTGTTACCTGACGAAGAGGAGCTGGATGGAGGTGGGGCGCATGTTAGGGAGCTTCATCCTCAGGTCCACGCAGCAAGAGGAGGCTCTTCATCACATCTGGTACGCTCTCAGGAGGTGGCGACTCGTCTCCCGGTGGATCGTCCTCTTCCTGACGACGGCTTGTTCGTCGATCAATCGGAGATGATTTACTCGATGGATTCGCGATCTTTTTATCGCGAATCCTTCAGCAATTTGAGTAACAATGCTCCGCGAATTGTGTTGATGAGATTTTTGCCGATGATCTAACGATTCTGGTTGCTTAATCCTTCACCGGCGATCTGTAGGAAAGTCGGGATAATCAGATAAAAATATGAGTTTTGGCTCTGGGAGGATTTGAACCCATGTCGATTGTCCCCACCTCTTTTGAGGAAGGTGATGGGTTTAGTCCCACATCGGTTGTGTGCCGAATTTTTAGACGAATATATAGTAATGTTACATTTCTAAGCAAAGTCTCTTTCTCGTGCATGTACGACCACTCCTTGCCCCACAGCCGGCTGGCCACCGGTGACGTGGAAGGGGAGTGGCGCACACATGCCCCATCGGTTCAAGCCGCTTAAGCCCCTGCTCGCGGCTACTCCCTGACTACGCTTCCGTCTTGCTTGCGGGTCCCCTCATTTTGTAATATTTTTATTTTTATTTCTTGTTCTTCATTTATCTCAAAAGTAAGACTGTAAAAATCGTATAAAATCACATAATTACCCAAAAATTCACGTTAACCAACTGAAACCCACTTTTCATACTTTAACACAAATATAAGTCTATTTATCATGAGTAAAGGCTAAAACTATATTATTTACTAATTATTAACTCATGATAATGAAGACTTATCAAGGAGGTTGTTGAAATTTATTCATAGCCCATGTTTTACATTGGCACTTTTGTTGTATCTTAGTCCCAACTTTGTTAGTTCTGAACGAGTAGGGACTACAAATGGTTATTCCTCAATAATTTTAAAAAATATATCATAAAAGAACAGAAATATTAATTTCCATGCACATTTCTTATCTACATATTTAAATTAGGATAAAGAACTATTTTTCAGAAAAAAAATCACTTTCTCATAATGTAACTATTTGTATGTTTTCAAATGAGCACACCAATTGATAAATCCAATTGTTTGTGTTTATTATGCAAAATTTATCAGTAGAATGATGGAAAACAATTTTTCACCTCATCAATTTCTTTTTACATACTTGAAATTGAAAAATCATCCACCAATAAAGCGTATCATCTGTAGATGTAGTACTCAATATTTATTAGCAAAAAATGCTAACATAGGATTACTCTGGTTATTTCATCATGATTTCCTCAATTAATTTCAATTACGTGTATAAAACTATGATCCATGAAAAATAGAGCAGATTTTTTTCAATGTAAAACTTTTGGATACTTGAAAAAATTAACTTTGCAATCAAGAAAAATCAAATCATATTTTGGTATCACTATTCTTTTGTAATTTATACATCATTGTTTTTCATTTTATGACTTCATTTATAAATAAATAATATTCATCAAAAACTAGAACCCAAAGTTTCCAAGAATTTAAGACTTGTTTCTAGTTTTTAAAAAACGTGTTGATCAAGGAAAAATCATAAGTTAATCCAAATTAATTATGATATTCATTTACTCCATAGGCAACTAGGGATCCTATAGAACAGAACTATGGGGAAAGAATGTGATGGCGAGCGGGACCCATCTCCATCAGCTCAGGAGACACCGGCAGTTCGAGTTCAGCCTGATCGATGCACGAAGATGAAGGAGCCTGGCTTTCGCTACACGGCCTAGCCCTTTGGGATGACGACATTCCACCTCCGCGACGATGATGAGCTCGAGCTCACCCTTATCTTTCTTTGTATTTTCACGTTGACGTGTTGGGCCTCGCGTTTGTGTGTTAGCGGGCCCAATTCTGTGTGTGTGTGTGTTGTTATTTGTGTCTCCCATTCTTTAGGGTTTATTGGGTCTCTCTTTTGAGGCCCAATTAAAACCCTAAGGGGGGGGACCTATGTTCCTTTCCTTTTGGGCCTCTTTTGGGCTTATTTGGTCTTCATTTGAGGCCCACTTAAGCACCAAACGAGGGCCCTCCTCTTTCTCCTTTTAGGGGAGCTTATTGGGTCTCTCTTTTAGAGGCCCAATAAGCCCCTTTTGTAGCCTGTTTTTGTGGCTTATGGGCTTGAGGGCCTCAAGTGGGCCCACCTCCCCTTAGCCCACTTGTGGGCCCTATATAAGGGGAGGTAGGACCCCCCTCAAGAGGAAGCGCCTAATTTTGTGAGAGATTATCATTTGTGAGTTACCTTCTTCGTGACCTAGGATAGGGAGGGAAGGAGAGAGAGGAAGACCGTCGATACCCCTTTGAGGACTTCATTCATCGTGACGCTGTTGCCTGAGAAGTCCCGCCGCCGCTTAAGACCACTGCCACCGCCGGACATCTCCATTGCCGCCTGTGAGATCGCCGCCATCACCAGACAAAACAGTCGCAGTTGCCGCTGCAACCGCCACTGCCTCTGTTGGAACCCCGTCATGCCATCATGACAAAAGGGGCTTGCTTCGCCTCCCTACGAGCCATCGTCGAGCGCTCTGCCAGAGTCTCTTGACTCCTAGTTCAACTGCCACCTCTTCCTTTGGAACTCCACCATAAACTCGCCGGGGCCGCCCTTCGCCGCTCCGCCCAGTCGCTGGCCATTTGCCGACGAACGCCTACCTGCCGCCGACGTCGGGAGAGACCCTGCAGCCGTGCCGACGAGCCAGATCCAGTCCAAGCTCCTCACAAGCCCCCACTGGAGTTTCTCGATGCTCCGCCGCCGTTGTGCCGTTTCCAGCACTGCCTAGACCAGGAGGGCTCAACCCTCCCTAGTATCATCGGCTGGATCATCTCCTTCCTCTGCTCCGCTTCCCGGCACCGCTAGAGAGGGCCGTTCCTTCCGACGACAGTCGGGCTTCCGCACAACTACCGACGCTCGACATTCCCGCCGAAGCGCCGCTGACGCTTGGCATTCCCGCCAAAGCGCTGCCACCACACACGCCCCGCGCGCCAGCTCTTGCGGCCTGCGTGCCCACCTGGCGCCGCCGCCCGCATGCTCGAGGCACGCTGCGCGGCTTGTCGCGCACACCCATTAGCATGCCCTTTGGCCCACCAGTGGGCCCACGCCCGCGCCGACCGTGTCACGCCTTACGACGATGACTACTACGACTCTCGACCAGATCTGATCGTCGACGTTGAGCATCGCTCTTCACCGGATGTCTCTGCCTACAACGAGTCTCCGCTCCGTCACGACCCACCGGGCTACACAGCCCCGAAGGTTAGCGCCGTACACCTTCTTACTTAAGTTTAATTACCTTTCGAAGGGTTTTCTCAGCTCATTTCCACCGCCATCAGGAGACGTAGATAGGATTGGACGGGTTATAGGATCGTGACTTCTAACGCTGCGTCAGATTCGTCACCGTTTGTGAGCTGCAGCCCTAGGCTACTTCACGACGACCGTTCCGCTGTCTGTCCAAACGTGGACCAAGAGGGTCTCATACTTACCATCGTCGAGTATTTCCCCGAGTTGTCCTGGGTTGATAGTGCATATTGGTATGCCTGCCTGTACTTAGGTTAGGTGGTCAGACTTAGAGTCTAGGATCCATACATTCTTATCGGATCAGTCCGACTGCCCCATCTGGGTCTTGAGTTTCATTGATCAGGTACAAGGGTTCTCGCCCCCTCCTACATCAGAATGAGGGGGGAAAAATAAATTAAAATGACTCAAATTCACAAAATGGAGACAGTCAAAACATTATATTTTCAAACCTCAACTAGTTCATTTGTTTTTAGTGATATCATTTACCTTGCTTTCTACTGCATCAATACTTTATTTGAGACTTTCAATTAGCATATCCACTCAATGATGAAAAACTAAAAAGATTGATTTTGAAGTCAAAAATATTCGTTTGATCTTTATCTCTCCATATATATTCCTTAATCCCTTGTGGATTTAATCAACTCCTTGTGTATTCAAGGGATTTACTTTTTGTTCCATGTATAGGATGATCTTATGATTAGTTGTGGGTTCAAGAATTCTAAATTTCTTTCCTTATGTATTTAAGGTTTACTTTTATTCATGGTTTTCACACATGAGGAATAAAAAGGCAGGATGAACTGGTCTTCTCAGATTGCTGCCAACTGTTTAAGTTTTGATATTGGTTTGGTCACACTATTTGGTTGTTCTCATGCCATAGAAAATAAATTGCAATTTTATAATGATGTGGCAAGTCTCCCTATTCCAAGCTTCATTGGACGTGAAGTCTATACATTATTAAGCTCAACACTATGTCATTTTATTTAGGAATTCTTAATCTTAGCATGTTTTCTCCTTTAGGTGATCACAAACTATTTTTGGCTACTTAAAGAGTGATGAACTTTGGAAGGATACATACTTTTTGCACGTTTAAAATAAAAATTGCTAGTGGGGAAGTTGATTGTCACTTTTTTACAAGTATCAATTCACTTAAATTTCACTCTATTAGAAACTCACAAAGAGGTATTCACAATATAAGTAATAGATATTAGGAATGATTTTTAAAGAAAAATGAGCAACTAAACAGACTTGAAAATAACTTTTCCACAAAGCTTTATATTTGAAATAAATAAAAAGAAAAAAAATTACTTAGAAGGAATTAAATGTAAGAGCAGATATTTCTTTATTTATCAATACTAAAGAGCTTAAATTGAAGAATTTCGTAATAACTTTTTGATTAGAAAATATTGAAAAATAGAGTTAAGGCAACACTAAGAAATCATGAATGTCGTAAAAATTGTTTTAAGGGTAAAGATGTTTACAACAATATCAAAACATTGATGATGGAACTTAATGGTAAATTTTCTCTTAATAGGAATTTTTCCCAGTAATACAATGCACCTTTCATTAGACTGTCCAATGCACTAGTTAATAGGGTAAAAGCACACCATGAAAAAAAGTTACATGCTAGCATGAAACATGAACAATCATAAAATAACACATGAAATAGATACAAATGATCTATGAGATAGGTACAGATAATGTCAATTTGAAGATCATGTTAAATTGGGGGCAAAAAAAGAAAATATAAGTGGAGAGGAAACTAGAGAGTGTGGTGAAAACCTGTAGAGATTATAGTGCAACAGTAGAGCTTGTATCAGTAGAGAACATAGCCTGTGAAAGTTTATTCCAACGTTCCATCAAAGTCCCATTGGGTTTCTTTGACAATTCAATCTTGTCAAGCTGATTCTCACATACAATGTGGGCCATCGTGGTGCTGGATTGTGAGTGGTGAAGGATAGAGTAGGGATGAACAGTCGTTGAGGGAGATGGGAGAGCTAGTGATAGGAGTAAAGGGATGATGGGTGGTGACGACGGCCAAGAAAAGGGTCCTCTTTTCTATCAGGGGCTCAATGTGGAGGAGAAAGATAGTGAATGAGGAGAAGCATGAGGTCAGTGAGGATCAATGATGTTTGGTGGGTCAGGCTGGGGTGGGCCTATGATAGGAAGGAAATATCAACCTGGTCCACAAGGAGTTATTTTCCAAGTGTTGATGTCATAAACTTAGGAAGGATAATAGATGTGAGATGAGTTGAAGAAATGACTAAACCCTGTACAAGCAACCTAATCTAAGAAGGGTGACTATGGTAATAAATGTGATTAAGAAATCACTAACGTTAAGGCACTCTACTATAAATAAATCAGCCAGATGCAAGCCAAATGGGTGCTCTCTATGTTCTCACCATGAGCAATAAAATAAGTGGACCTATCTTGGGAATCACACAACATCAATTTTAAAAGATAATATACTTAATAAGAAAAAGCATCAATAAGGGTAGTTTTTCTACTAGAATAGCCTGGGTAACAAAAAATTATTCTTGCAATGATGTTGTGAACTGTGTTAAGATAGGACACTTATTTCCATGGTGGCTAGCGATGGTGTAGTGTGAGAACATTGGGTAACATTGAGTGGAACTTTGTAACTTCTGATTTAATTTATCTTGTAGAGCTAATATTTGCTTCATCCTTTCTACTATTCATTCATCCTAGATAATTTCTCTAGTTTCTTTTGAATCTCAATTCTTTATTGTCATGTTGACCTACCTCATATTTTCCTCATTTCTTGGAGATTATAGTATTTCTATCATAAGATAATGATAATGTATAATTCAAAGAATGCTCATTAAGATCTCAAAGTAACCTCTATGCTTCATCTTCATTTTTGCTCAAGAATGTCCCTCAACATGAAGTATCAACCATTTATTTGAAAGATTATGTTAATCTATCATTAAATATTTTCATTAATTACCATTTAGATGTACCATGATATAGACATTTCATCATCAATCTCTTGAATTCGCTCCATACTTGATTTAAACATTCCCCATGAGTCTAATTAAATCCCATAATCACTTTACTCATATTATTTGGTTTTTCTCAAGGATTTATTTTTTATGAAATTCTTGTGTCATCACATTATATTTGTTACTATCTCTCCTTAAGGTAGGAAACCAATAACGAGCCACATCTTCTAATGAGAAAAGGAAAAGAGTTAGCCTCAATGTGTCATCTGTATCTTTTACTCTCCTACAAACCCTCAAAAAATTCCTTAAATGCTGATACAATTCTTCACTATAGTGTCCACAGATTGGTAGCATTTTAATATTCGTAATTTATTATAATGCCTACAAACTTGACATTGGTGTAAAGTTATGCCCATAGGTGGATTAAAATAATCCTTCGATTTTCTAGGAGGATCCTATATTTCATTTGTATATTTGAACTATTAATTTGTATAGGATAAAATAAAAATATATCTGACATAGGTTTGGCTAATGTGGGTTTCAAAAATCTCCTACCATATATATAGTAATTAGAAAGGTTTTTAATTCTTCTTTTTCCAATTCAATAGCGTAAGAAAAATAAAGGAAAGTTAAATGTAGAAAAGTAAAAGAAAAATTGATAGAATATAAAGGAAATTTAAGTGAAAACTAAATTTAGGTACAAATGGAAGAAAATTAAAAAGAAGTGATAAAGGGCTATCACCAGACTCTTTTCTTCACTTTTCTTTGAAAACCAATTGCATCTCCCATTTCTAACTAGTTTGCTTCGTGTTTGCTATTTCTTTTAGATGAAACTAAAAAGAGAACAAAATCAGCAATGAATTAAGTGAGAATAGACATTATCATTATCTTAAGCAAATCCACAACAACTACACCAAAAGTTAGATGACACTTTTGTCATTGCCATCTAAATGATAAAAATTAAAATATTATTAAACTGAATTCAAATGGAAAATTCAATTTTTTTTATGATTTCAGGTCATTCATTGAGATGATGAAGAACAAAAAATAAAGCTCAAATCAGAAAAACAAGGAAGAACACAAAGTACAACCATGAGAAGGGACACTCTATCAACAATGAAATGAGTAGTTTATGTGGAATTCCTTTTAAAATGAAGTAACCCTTCAAAGTAAATTCTTTTTGCTGATAGGAATGAAGTTAGGTCTAACTAGAAAAGTGAATACTATCAAAGAACTGTTAAAAATAAAATAAAAATAAAAATTATCCACTTGTAGAGTTATTGATAAGTCTTCATTATCATGAGTTACTAATTAGTAAATAATATAGTTTTAGCCTTAACTCATGATAAATAGACTTATATTTGTGTTAAAGAGTGAAAAGTAGTTTTCAGTTGATTAACGTGAATTTTTGGGTAATTATGTGATTTTATATGATTTTATATGATTTTTACAGTCTTACTTTTGAGATAAATGAAGAAAAAGAAATTGAAATAAAAATAAGACAAAATGTGGGGGACCCGTCAGCCAGCGGGGCCCGCAAGCAGGTCGGAAGTGCAATCAAGGAGCAGCCGCGAGCAGGGGCTCGAGCGGCTTAGACTGATATGGGCACGTGTACGCCGCTCCCCTTCCACGTCACTAGTGGCCAACCGGCTGTGGGGCAAGGAGTAGTCGTACATGCGCGAGAAAGGGACTTGCTTCCAAATGTAACATTACTATATATTCGCCCAAAAATTCGTCGCACAACCGATGTGGGACTAAACCCGCCTCACACCTTCCTTAGAAGGGGCGGGCAACCGGTGTGGGTTCGAATCCTCCTAGAGGCAAAATTCATATTTTTATCTGATTATCGCGACTTTCCTACAGATCACCGATGAAGGATTAAGCAATCAAAATCGCTAGATCATCGACAAAAATCTCGTCAACGCGATTCGTGGAGCATTGTTGCTAAAATTGTTGAAGGATTGTGATAAAAGGATCGCAAATCCATCGAGTAAATCATCTCTGATTGATCGATGAACAAGCCGTCGTCGGGAAGAGAACGATCTGTTCGGGAGACAAGTCACCACCTTCTTGAGAGCGTACCGGATGCGATGAAGAGCCTACTCTTGCTGCGCGGACCTGAGGATGAAGCTCCCTAACATGCACCCCACCTTCATCTAGCTCCTCTACGTCAGGTGACACTGCCGCAGAGAGCCACAAAGTCACCGTTTTTTCACCCTGCTAGGTGACAGCCGTCGGAGATGATTCGACGACCTATTTCATTGATCTGTAGACTTCGCAAGGAGATCTGGAGATTGCCCACATTGTCCTTGTCCAAAGAGAGCCTTCGAGGCCGTAGACATTGTACGACTATCCTCCCGAACGCTTAGGATTCTGGTGCATCACCGATGCATCGCCGCCGCGACGCCGGAACTCTGTTTTCCTACTTTCGAGTTAATTTACATTTCATTTAGTGATAATTTATTGATTTTAAATTTACCAAGATATACTCTATTTCATTACGATTCTTCCAGCTTTTAGAGATTTTAATTTGATCAATTAAATCGTCTGTAATCACTTACGTAAGAATCGTTGGGTGGAACTCTATTTTCACCCGATTTGCGTTTGCCGGTGCTAACATCATCCTAACATCCGCACCCTTATTTCCTTCTTTTTTGTGAATTTTAAATATATTTCCTTTTTATTTCTTAGTATATAATTATAGAAAATAGCCTTTTTGAGGAAAAATCTGAATAATTACCAGATATTATATTACATCCATGTGATTGACCTGGAAAATTATCGCTATTTTTGGAAGTTTTATTGAATTATAATTGATATATTTGTTCAGAAATACTTCTAAATATCCAAAAAATCATATTTTCTAGTTTTATTAATTTTAGATTTGCGTGATTTAATATACAACAACTAAGTCACGTCAGTTGTCACTTGTATTGAAATGGAAAAATTATTTTGATTTGAATCCTTATCAAAACTAGGTAATATTTGTGACAAAATGAATTCGAATGAGTTAAAATGTGAACTATCCTTAGAAATGTTAAGTAATATTTTATCTGAAATCTTAAAATCATACAAGGAACTGCTAGAAAAAAATCAGTGCATGCTCTCTCTATCACCTAGGAATAAAGTATTGTCATGGAATAGAAAGTGAATGGAAATTCGATTGAAAAATTTATAAAAATGTCAATTCATAGGCTTAATCTTATTTCACATAACGGATGAAATTAGAAAAGTTCAAAAAAGTTAAATCAAAATTGAAACTGAAGTCATGAACACCACTTGACGCTCCACTCATCTGTCACTGAGAAGTAGAATATCAAAAATTGAATGAGAAATCTATGAAACCAGTGAAAAAATGAAGACAAAGCTTAATCTCATCATCTACTTGTAACCTAGAAAACATATTAGATAAAGTGAGAATAAAAAAATCAAAATAGAAATTGAATTTGCAAAAACCTACAATCATTTTGCTCATCACTAGTTGTCACTTAGAGAGAGCTCAGCAACCACATATAGAAACTCTCTGTAGCATCGCCAAACTCCACACCACGCTCTAGGGTTCTCTCCTTCTCCCCTTCTCTCTCATGACTTAGCCCCTTTTTTTTATAGGCATTAGTTACCCCTAATAGTTTGGCCCAACAATATCTTCCCCTAATAGTTCCTTCAAGGGAAATCATGTTAGAAGACATTAGAAGATCAAGAAGAAATTTCTCAAGAATAATAAGTAGACTTAAAGATAAATTTATAAATATATCCCAAAACCCATTTTAATATTTCTTCATTTGGTTTTATTACATTTCACATCAGTTAATGCGACATTTATTACAATTTAACCTTGATTACCATCCAAAAATGTCACATTAACAATTATTATGTTTACTAGAAAGGTACTTTATGGTTTCTTAATGTGATAGAAATACTCACAATATTCCTTACTATTTTAGAGTAATGTGCTCATTGTGATGCTACATCAAGGTTATTTATTATTTTTTAAAGACATAAATTGTGGTTGAAAGATCACATGATGATTAGAATTTTGGAGAATCCAACTTCAATATTTGGGGGAAAATATTTGAAGATAACTTCAAGGTGAAATTTTAAGGGAGTAGAACTCAGTAATCATCAGCTTTGATCAGACACTTGATTTCAGCAGAACCCAAGAACAAGGGTTATTCTTGGAAAATGAGTGTAGATAAGAGGTCAAATCATTATAAAAATCTTTTAATTCTATGTCTATTAATCTAAGAGTATTAGAATCCTAAGGATTAGGGGGACTAATTAATTCTATCATGAGTTGACCAACTTCTATGATTAGAAATTGATCAGTTGGAACCCTAAAAATCTAAGTGCAGCCTTAAACTCAACTTTGTCAAATTCTGAATGGGTCAATGTAGATAATGTATTCTTTTCTAATTTTGATAAAATTATTAAGCTTCTTCTTGCATCTTCCCTGACTTTATTGCACATGAATGTCACTTCTATAGATTTATTCTCTTTGTCACTTGGCTTTGTAATGCTTAATTGGAAAATCGTTGCTCCTCTAATTTCCATAGATCTGTGCCAATCTTTAAGTCAAATTCTTGATACTTCTCTTAGCAGCTGGAAACCTCTGCAACTAATTATCTCTCTCTTGTAATTTTTACAATTCAGTCTTGATTGCTTCCACCCTAATTTTTTGGGTTTCAAATATTGCTATGTTTCTATTTCTGGCCGTCAAGATTGTAGGCTTTGATACTAGCTGATAAGAATCCAACACGCAGAGGAACAAGAAGTCGAGTTTTGTTTCATGCTCTAGGAGCTGCTAAGAGGGGTCGCTGTCGGGGAAGGAGGCCCAGACCTGGGTCCAGATCTCGAACGCCTCGTCCTTCCAGACGGCGAAGCTGGGGGGGTCAACGACGGTGGGCTTGATGATCTCCTTGGCGGGGAAGACGCCCCAACTGACGGCGTTGACCTCCGCCGGGCCAACGTTGGATACGCTCTGGCCGTCCTTATTCACGGCGATGTAGGTCAAAGACGGCGCCGCCTTGGACTTCTCCACCAGCGCGTCCAGCTTCTCCTTGGAACAGAAGAACTCCAGGTAGGCCTTCTGGTACACGTACCCCCCCGGGCCGCCCCACCCTGAGAAAGGAAAAGACGGGGAGGAAAACATATTGAGCGTCGAGAGGTCGACTTGAGTTGACTTCAGTGGTGGTGGTGGTGGTGGTGGTGGTGGTGGTGGTGGTGGTGGTACTGACCGACTGAGGATGAATGGGATTTCTCGCCGTTGGCCGCGGGCTGGCTCTTGATGGTGAGGAACCCCTTCAGGTTGATGCTCTCCAGTTGCTCATTTATGATCTTCGTCTCTGGCTGAAGGCTGTCCAGCTCGAACCAGGGGCTGCTACTGAGCATGCCCAGGAAGAAGCTCGAGAATCTCTGTCGAGTCGTCGATGGAGGAGGAGGGACTTTAGATGTCGACGCGGTAATTTGGACACTCGCCGACCTGAGTCAAAGGTGGCCGTGGGTTGACTTACCTTGTTGATGTCTTCGATCGATTTGATGGGGACGGCCCATTCCTCATGGAGTTTCTTGTCGCGCGACCTTGGCCGCATCAACTGTGACAGGGAGTGGGTTTGCATGAGAGGCTAGTTTCCGGATCGAGCGCTGATCTAATGCGTTGACAAACTGAGATGTGATGCACAGTAAACGCAGAGGAGAGTTCGTGAAGGTGAGACGATGATCACCTGGTAATCAGTCAGCGCCCCGTATGACGGATTGCCGGAGTCTCCCCAGCGGCCGCGAGGGTATTGGTCCCAACCCCCAGTCCTTGCGATGTAGCTCCTCGGACGATTGGCCCTGTAATCAGTTTCCTTTTTTGCTCAGAGAGATAATACAGATTTTTGCCATTTGCAGGGAGAGAGGAGGGAAGACTTCGAACATTTATCTCTGTCAGCTCATAACTCGGATGGATATTAATTTCCAGAGAAAATGAAGTGCCAGAATATGGGGCGGACGTCCTCTTTAGCACGGAAAACATTTGTAGGGCGTCTCCACGGTAAGGATCTCGATATCTTTGACTCCTCGATCAAATATTGCTATGTTTCTATTTCTGGCCGTCGAACGCTGAAACTGCGGTCGGTGGCCTCGATCTGCCGCTGGGAGCTCAAACGCGCCTGTGTGAAGATAAAGAACCCTCTTACTCTTATGCATCCTTTCCGTGAATAAGCAAGTTTGTGCTTTGACGTGATAGACAAGTCGACCATTCTGTGCGTTACTCGGAGTTACATTCCGCCACGGGGTTCACACGGCGTAGCGCCGCCGATGAGTGAGAATCTCCGTCCTGCGACCACCTGGGGTTGGGTATCTCAACTGCACTGGTTGAAGATCTTCTCAGTACTCAAGCAAAAGCTCGGTTTGGCTTGAGGTCCTCCGCCGTCCGAAAACCTGTTGGCAGATTGAGGAAGCTGCATGGAGTGAGTAGCCCAAATCTACAAGGATCTTTGAACTTGTAGGCCTAGATTATTAGATCAGGTGTCACCTGTCAGCGGCCAAATACTCCATAAAACTAGATTATTATTTTCCACTCACTCAGAACGCGAGTGATATCGCCAAAATTAGATTAAAAGAACAACGTGATCAGATGAATCTCGCGTATGAGTAGTAAACTTCTTCCAAAAAGGAACCGAAACTTCAAATTTGACTGCGGTCATTTTAAAACAAATAATAAAAAATGACTGGTAAAATAAGAGTTTTTAGCTTAATCACTGCTTTCAGACCGTTCTGTGATGCAAAATTTACGGAGGATTGAATTCATTCACTGTAAATAAAATGTTACTATAAGCCAAGATTATTAGATGAGGCAAGCCCACAAACATATAAAGCTACCTAATACATGGAAAGCCCATAAACCGAGATCTCATAATGCCATTAACTAAGATAGGACAAGCCCATACGAACTATATCTGATACACTCCACAGCAGGGTTCTCACGACGTAGCGTCTCCGATAAGTGATAATCTCTTCTGGTGATCACCTGGAGTTCGGGATCTCTACTGAGCTGGCTGGAGAGCTGCCCAGTACTCAGAGCAAAAGCTCGGTTATGCCTGTGGTCCTCCCCCCTCCTCCCCCCCTATGTAACTCTCTTGACAGATGGACGGAGCTGGGTGGAGGAAGTTGCTCTAACCTACGAGGATCTTTCGACTCGTAGCCCAGATTATTAAATCAGGTGTCACCTGTTAGCGGCGTACTTTTCCATGAAACTAGATTATCAAATTCCGCCCGCTCAGAACGTGACATCACCAAAATTAGATTACGAAAAGCGTAATCCGATAAATTCCCTCGCATGAATAACAAACTTCTTCAAAGAAAAGGGCCAAAATTCAAAAATTTAATGACGCTTGTTTTGAATTAATAATAAAAAATTGACAAGAAAAACAAGAATTTTTGTTTAACCGATGTTTTCAGACTGTCCTGCGATGCAGAATTTAAGAAGAATTGAGTTTATTTCCTGTGAGCAGAATGTTACGATCAAAGGAAGGTACTGGTGGGCCAAGTATGTCCCCCAGCCCCAGCTGGCTGATCGACTACTCCACCAATACGACGGCCGACTCGACAAAAGCAGCACATGCGAACTGTGCCCTTCCCATCCACCACCTCCTATTTATCTACTCCCCACAGCCCTTGAGAGGAAGATAGCGAGCGAGCGAGCAAGAGAGCAAGAGAAAGAGCGATACTGAGAGAAAGGGAGGAGAGAGGGAGAGATGGCTTTTGGTCTGAGGACACCAGTGTTGATCTTTCTCCTGACATTCTTGGCCATCGTCTTCGCGGCCACAGAAGCAAGCAGCGTCCCTGGGTCTGCGGATGTTTTGCTCTCTGGAATTTCCGGCGGCCGCTGCAACGGCTCGATCGCAGAGTGCCTTGGCGGAGGCAAGTTCGAGATGGGTTCCGAGGTGAGCAGGAGGATCCTGCAGTCCCCCAAGTACGTAGTCAACCGCGCCGTGAAGAATGCCAATCGACCGACGCCTGAGTCGGCAAAGTCAGGCAAACCTTACAACCCTGGTTGCCAAACCAGCTACAAATGCAAGCGGTAATACGCCGGAAAGAACATGTTTCAAGAAGTTGCTTTACTCCCATAAATGTTTCTAGTGTCTTCGTACAAGTCGAACGGTGCAACTGCGGTCGGCGGCCTCGATCTGCCGCAAACGCGCCGGTGACCCCCTTACTCTTCTCTATCCTTTCCAAGAATAAGCAGCAGTCTGTGCCTTGTTGTGGAGAGATGACTCCGTCATTCTGCGTGAGACTCGGAGTTCCACTCCGCCACGGGGTTCTCACGGCGTAGCGCCGCCGATCAGCGAGAATCTGCGTCCTGCGACCGCCTGGTTTCACGGCGCCCAGTACTCAAGCAAAAGCTCGGTTTCGCTTGGGGTCCTCCGCCCTCGGTAGCTCTCTTGGCAGATGGAGGGAGGAAGCTCCCCAAGTCTACAATGATCGAGTGCCTAATTCTATTGCGAAAGGTGTAATCAGATAAATTTTCTCGCATGAAAAGTAAAATTTTCAAAAAACTTGAGCGAAATTCAGCGTTTAACAACGTTTCATTTAAATTAATAAGAAAACTGACAGGCAAAATGAAGTTCTTTATCCAACCCATATTTTCAGAAGGTCTCCTAAACGACGAACGCCTGGCTCTCCTGTGATGGATGTCAAGGCCTCCCCGCGTTGTCCCGTGTTACCATTATTTGCACTGTTAGGATCGACCGGCGATTCCGCGTGCGGGCAGACCCTCAGCGAGTAGGGCTGAGGGAGGACTGTCCGATATGGGACTAACGATGTGGATACCTCCCCTCCCCCATTTTTCTTTCCCCAGAATACAGCAATCTCCCACTTGGAAAGAAAAATAATATCCCAACGCGGCACCACAAATCCCTTCGTACGCCCGGTAACACCGTGGGCACGTCTCCTGTGCACCCAGTCCACGAGAGATCAACGAGCTCCCACTGCTTGGGAAGCGTTCCGGCACGTTCTACCGCACGATGCTTCCGCCGGAACCCGACCCTGTCCACGTCGCTCTACGGTGAGGTTTCCATGCCAGACGCTGTATGCGTCTTTCCAGCGCACCGCACCTATGTGCATTCTGCACTACATGACCCCTTTTCTCGTGTACGGCGCTCCTCCGCGCTGCTTCCATGGGCTGCATGCCACCTGCGTGCACTGCCTGTCGCACCAGACGATCCAGCACTCACCACAGTTCCACGTACCTGCGCTGTTCCAAGCGTCCGTTGCGCACAGTTCCGTCGCACGCACTCCCGAGGCCATCGCGCGTCCTCCTGTGCCAAGGCCTCCCCGCGTTGTCCCGTGGCGATGCCGGTCCTCTCGTGCCAACGCAGTCCCTGCTGCCACGCATCTCGCTGCGCGGTGCTGCTCCAACGTTACGATTGCGAGCTCACACGCTCCCACGTGTTGAGTCATCACTGCTCACGCGTCACCGCCCGACCGACGCCATGCCGTCGCGCGGTTGAAGTTCCCCCGGTGAGCGCCAACCGCTCGCAGGCGCCGCGCTGTTCTAGTGTCATTCGTTCCATTATGCCTCCTTAATATTCCTCTCCCTCACTTTTCTTTCCACAAAGTAGAACAATAGTATGAAGTATATGAATCGTTAGAGTGAAATGAATCATAATATATGAATAGTGCAAAGAAACTTGAAGTCACCACAGCTTAGGTCGTAGAAACACTAAGAGATACTAAGGCAAAACCTTCTGACTAAAACTGTATGATAAACCGATCAAAGAGTGTTGTAACATCAAACACCAAACTCTAACACATGATTACTAAACTAGCCCAAGTGAAAACAACGCAAGAGAGAGTAATCATGGGTTTAAGAATTATGTCACCATGTTCATAAAATTGAGATTCCCTCACTTAATCCAGAGTATGTTGTTAATCAGATCTTCTATTACGGAGAATAATGCTCTTCCTTTCTAATCCTCAACAGTCAGTGACTCTTCACCTTTCTAACATTTGAGCATGTGGTCCTATTCTCTTCCTCTCTGCTGGTTCATTGTCTTCACTCCAGTCTCCGCTGGCTTGACACAACACAACAAAAAGAATGGGTATAGGGTACTCTACAGACATTACTACCCGACAAGCCTGAGCCCTGTGCAGAAATGTGGCTCTTTCGGCTGACAAGAATGGTTACGTGCCCAACACGCACAGCTCTTGATAGGGAGAGAGCGAAAGAAATAGAAAGAGAGAGAGAGAGAGAGAGAGAGAGAGAGAGAGAGAGATGCTTCAGGTTCAGACCCTCTTCCTCCACCCATCTGATGGCAATTGCCACTAGTGCAGCGGCTAGCTCTGGAGAAGTCACCGTGGCGCAGGCGGGGACATTTCTGTCCATTGCTGAGTGCCTCGCTGAAGAAGAAACAATTCCAGATGGCCATACTTCCCTTCTCCCCTTTATCAGTGGTCCCCATCCTATTCCTATCGCGCTTCCCCTCACCTCCTTTCTTCCTTAATCCGGCTCTCTTGGCTCCCCAAGGAAGGGGGAGGATTCTGATGAATGGCAGTGGTCATCTCTCCACCTTCACCTTCCAAGGTGTGGCTGCCACCCTCTCCAATTTCCCTCTTCCTTGGTGCTCTCCAGTTGTCTAGCCCACCACAATCTCCTATCTAGATGTTGTTCCCGCTGTTTTTTCTTTCACATTCTCAAACTATCCTTCCTTTGGCATTTTCCTCCATTTCCTTTCACCTTGCCCAACTGAGTCTCCTCTTAAAAGTTAAATCAACATGTTAACACTAATCACGTTAGAACTGCAGCTCACTTGTGAAGAAATTTACATAATCACATGAGGACTGAGACCCCAAGCAAGGTTTGTTGTTGGCCCATAGAGAAACGTCAATCCACTTTTAAAAACTTTGCAAAACTGAAGCACTGACACTGGTGAACTCACTCCCATCTCTATTTTCTATGCCATCTTTTGGAGTTCCTTTTCCTAAAGAATGGCCAGAAAATTGACCAGAAAGTCATGAAATTGAGCCATCATACCCTAGTAATTGCTGAAAAACGTTTTATAATGATGAGATCCCATCAATATGCTTTTAAAACCTTTTGATTTCAGAATAAAACACGTCTAAAATGATTAGAAATTCTTTTCTTCCAGTAGTCATTTGCTTTTTAAAAGTTTCTATTTGTCAAGTGATGTTTCTAAGTTGCAAGTTAATTCTTCTAAGCACAAGGCCTTTGTGTTATAAGTTCCTGGGGAATCATATAAGTTGTCTGACATATCTTATTTATTCAAGGAAGCTCATGGTCTAGTAGTGTATTGACTAACATTAAATTACGATGAAGATGTTTGGGTAAGATTGAGTAATAACTTTCTTGTATGTTAGTACCAACTTTGAAAGTTGTGAAAGAGCAGGGAAGAAATATGACTATTTTTCAATAATTTAAAATAAAATATCATAATCAATCCGCAATAGCAATTTCCACTCACATTTCTTATCTATATATCTAAATCGCAATAAAGAATTCTGTTTTTCAGTAACACAATACTTTCTCTACTCAAAACGTAACTATTTCAAATGAGCATACCAATGGAGAAATTTAATAGTTTATGTTTATGATGCAAAACATTTTATGTTTAAAAGGATAGAAATCAATTTTTCACCAAGTTAATTAATTTTTCTATAATTTAATGGGCATATCAATCACTTACAAAATTTATCATTCCACCCCAAAATATTCATTATTTATGAACTAAAAGTTTATTATATTATTAATCAAGTCATTTCAACCAAAAATTCCTTGTAAAAACCATGATTTCCTAAAAGATAGAGGGCATTTGGTTGCATGGTCAATCTTTCATACATTTTAAAAATAAGAACCAATGAGAAATCCAATAATTCAACTTTTTTTATCACTTTCTTTTGTGATCCACATATAATTATTTTTTTATGAATTCATTGATAAAGAAATAATATTCATAAATATGTAGAAGCCAATTTTCCCAAAAAATTTAGATTTTCTGCAAGTTTTCATTGAACTTATTGATTTAGAAAAAAGTTCATAAGTTAATTCAAATTACTCATGGTATTCTTATGCTCTATGGGCTGCAAGAGATGGTATAGAGTAGAATTATGAGGAAAGAATAAAGTTCAAAGGACCCTAATTTGTGTGCAATAGAGATAAATGAAACAGTATATTTTGGTACATCTACGAGTTCTCTTGTTTTAGTCATATCATTCGTCTTGTTTTCTACTTCTTCAATGCTTTCTTTCAGACTTTCTATCAACAGACCTACTTAATGGTGATAAAATGAAAGGAAGATTGATTTTCTAACTAGAAACATTAGTTTTATCTAACTTTCCTTATATATTCAATACCCCCTTGTAGATTTAATCAACTTGTGTATTCAAGGGGCTTATTTTTCGTTCCAAGTTCATTTATGGATATGACCTTATCATTACTTCTTGATGCAAGAATTTTAAATTTCATTCCTTTTGTACTTAAGGTGGGGAGTTTTCCTATTTAGGGGATCCCAAACTATTTTTTGCCTATTTAAAGAAGAATCAACTTTTGTAAGGAGATATTTTTGTTCCATATTTGAAGTAAAAAGTAATAATGGGGAAGTTCATTAATAGTCTTTTATAAGTATCAATTCATAGAAATGCCACTTTGTTAGAAAGTCACAAAAAATGTATTCACAATATGTATATTATATATTTTCCCTACTTTTGAAAGAAAATATGAGAAAATTAGAAAATGAACAAACTTTAAAATGACTTTTCAACAAAAAAATAATGGAAGAATCAATTACTACGAACCAATTAAATAAAAGAGCGTATATTGCTTTAATTATCTATACTGAAGAGCATAAATAGCAGAATTTTATCATCACTTTTTAATCAGTAAATATTCAAGTGCAAAGTTAAGGTAATAGAAAGAAAGAATGAACATTAGAACCAATTAATGGTAATTTTTCTCTCTTAGACATAAAATCTTTCATTTAACTGCCTAAATCATTACTTAGGAGGATAAAACCATAACATTAAAAAGTGTTACATGTCAGCATCAAACACAAATAACCGTTAAATAAATTGTTATATTAGGGGGATGGGAGATTGGTACAGATGATATCAAATTAATGATGATGTTAGATTAGTTTGGAAAGGCAGAAACTTTACTTGGAGGGGAAATCAGAGAGTTTGATAAAGCGTGCAAAGATATCCCAGTGCAAAGGCAAAGTAGGTATCGGAAGTCAATGGAGTCTCATGAAGGTTATTCTGACGCTGTCATTGCTTCTCCTTTCGGGGTCTCCTGCATTCCATCGTACTCCCACCGGGTCTCGGCGCCAATCAATTCAATCATGAGAACCTGAGCCTCACGTACAACACGGCCCGTCGAGGCGCTGGAGTGTGAACGGTGAAGGCCAGGCCAGGGAGGAACAGCCGTGAGGGAGATGGGAGAGTTGGTTGGAGGGGTAAAGGGGATGATCGGCGGCCAAGGAAAACGCCCTGTTCTTCTGTCGGGGGTTCGGTGTGGGGGAAGAAGGGCCGTGACGAAAGGGCTTGAGGTCAGCGGAGATTGATGCTCTCAGACGGGCCGGGCCGGGGTGGGTTTGCAACGGAAACGAAATGTCAATCAGGTCCAAATTGATCGTTCAAGGGCCGATGTCGCGAAATCCGGTGAGGACGGCGTTTGCTCTCTAATCTTGGGGGCTCTCCTCACGCCACCCCGGTTTGGAAGCAGAATGGCTGCTGCAACAGTATCGAGTCCCTGGTTCCTCCTGAGGTAAGCTCCTTGTCTCTCTCTCTCTCTCTCTCTCCGTCCTTTTCTTCCTCTCCCTGGTTTCAGATTCCATTCCAATCTTTCCTCGCACGAATATAACCTACGTTCTACATTCTCGACCTGTCTGGACAGTTCTTATCGTGCTCTACGTCCTCGCACAACTCCAGCCAACCTGATTCTCCGTCTTTCTGGCAGACGAATCCGAGCTCCGGTAGGCCTTACAGCGCCACACACCAGGTGATATTCTCGCCACTCCCCCTACTTCACTCCATCCATCATGTTTAGAGAAATGCGTCGATAATCATATGACCCACCTATAGGTTCTTGTTTTTTTCTTCACCTCGATGATTTTTCGATATTCAGAATTTTGTGTTGTATTTTCCTTTTCTCGGCAGGCTGTTTCGGCACATTACTCATGCGGTTGACGAGGAGGCTTCTGCCAGAGCGGCAGCGGCTCGTGTAGACAGTGGAGCTCCTACTATGTACTTTTACTGCCTTCGCATTGCCTGAAGCATACACATAAACATCAGAACATTCTTCTGAAAAAATAGTTTTACATGATCTTGGTTGCATAGAGAGCACGAAATTCAGAAATACTGGTGTTTCTTACAGTAGGAGGGAACAATTATCGTGTTAATTTCGGCTAAGTTCTCTGAAGGAAGTTGATGTTTTCTATATGTACCTGTGGACAAGTAACTGAGGAAGGTACATCCAATCTTCCACTTGGCAATGGGAGGATGAGTTCTCTTGCTTTCAAAAGTGGTTTTGTTTTAAGCTTCTTTCTATCAAGTAATGGTGCAATTCCGTTGTCTTTCCTCCGATCTTCTAATGCTGAAGTGGGCTCAGTTTGACTGTTAATTCGGGTAGAATTTTCCTCATATATGTGTTCCACATGGGTTTCTCGCATGTTATTGTCATTTGCCTCTTCCAAAAGACTTTATTTTATTTTGTGGCCTTCTAGAATTTTGAACACTTTCATGTTGTTGTTAGAAATTATGTCAGAAGAAAGGGTGCATAAATTGTTCCTTGACTTGAGCACTGGCTACTGCTTCCAGAATTAGTAGTGAGTGATTCAATGAACAGTTTTCCCTAATGTAGTCGTAATCACATCTGGGATGTTAACTTCAATGACGTGTTGTACTGTGACTAGGCATTTTCTTTTGTGTGAAGGAGATGTTTATAGTTCTATAAAGTTCAGACTAGTAAATATGAAAAAAAATATAATCTAAATAGATAAGCATTGTTTGTCATTAGTGTTCAATTAACTAATGCTTCTTTATTTCATTCCAAATTCGGATCATTAGTTGTCCTTCTGGTTCCTCTCAGGAACATTGAGCAATGCCTTCTCCTAGTTCCTTCACAAAGGGAACTCAATCACAATTTTTATAGTTCATTCTGGAGTGGAAAGTGAGGACCAACTTTTATGTGACCCACTTCTCTCTTTATTGTCAACCGTTTGTCTTTTTTGTTGCACCAAGGCGAGTTCCTAGCCAGCTACTGTACCCACTTGTTGCTACAAGTCCTAGTTTTTCTGTGACAGTAAGGTTAATTTTTCTGTTCAACATTCAATTAAGAAACATCTCCCTGATGTTGTACTCAAAATGTTAATCAAATGGATTATGTATTTGACTTTGAATAGGACTTCAATCTTACCTGTGAGAGGGTCAATTGTACATCTTTCTCGTTATTAAGGCATATTTCTCTTATCCTATTATCCGCGGTTTCTACTATGGCCTAAACTAATTGGTCTCTTATGAAGGGTTTCTTGAAAGCATTTGCAGAACAGTGCCATTTTTCCTTTTTTTTATTATTAATGACTATGTCAACATTATTCACTGTGAAAGAAAAGAAAAAGAATATGGAAACCTTTGGAAGTAAATATTTTTATGGTTAATTTTCTTAATGAGGACAGTTTTTATGGAATAAAACCAATGAGAATGAGAAAGGTTTAGTTTTTCTGTGGAGATATCCATCACTATGAGTATGGCATATTACTGGTTGACTATTGAAAAGATGTTCTCAGGCTTATGTTGTAGCTGTAAAAGTATTTACAAAGGAATGGGCATTTTTGATGAGAGGTGGACATAAACCTGGTTGACAATTATGCAGAGGCTCGTTGGTGGGTTGTCCCTTTTCGTCTTTCTGTTACCACTGGTTAACTCCTATAATCAGGTCTCCTATAAGCCACTGTTTTGGTCCTAAAAATCGCTTTGTTTATTGAGCGAAGCTGTCTGAGAGATTTATTAGGTAAAGCAGGACACCTGAAAAATAAAAGAATCTGTTATGTTATCATTCTATTATTTCCTCAAATTCTATTATTTCTGCAACTCGGTGTATATATAGTATTCATCACCTTGTTTCAAATAGAGATACAAGACGGGAAGTTAGAGAAATGCATTTCTACGAGTTTTTTTGGAGCATTACTTTTCATTTAAGTTTTTGGATTTTGGGAGGTGGACATGAAAAGGTCAAGAAAATCGGTGAACAGCTATTGTCACTTGATACTAGAATAGCTCCTAAATTTATTCATCAGAATGGTGACATATCCTTAGTTCATTTCACTTTTTATCTTTTCCAGATTTGACAAGATAATATCAAAGGAAATTCCTTCAACAGTTGTATATGAGGATGATAAAGTGTTGGCATTTAGGGATATTAATCCACAAGCTCCTGTTCATGTCTTAATTATTCCAAAACAGCGGGATGGATTAACAGAGCTTGGAAAGGTAAATTCTCTTGAAATCATTCCTATTCATGTTAAGGATTTGGCATTTTTTTCTCAGTAAACAGTCAAAAAATCTGTTGTGCTTTTTTTGAATCACTGTTGTTAACTATATTGAAATCTAAGATATTTCTAATATTTATGCATTTCATTTATCTTGTGTCCTTTTATTTGATATATTAATCAGGAGACTTTCTCGTCATTATATTCCTGGTATTTAGATTCTAACGACATCTTATGCTTTGGGAGTAAAGTTTTTCGATTCAGAGTTATTTGGTCAGCATGTAGAGAACGAGATTACTTTGATTGTAGCTGTTTTTTACTATTTACCCTATTATGTTCTAGTTCCAAGATGTAGAACTTATTACTATCCTTGGGTCATGATTGTAGCAGCATTTCATTATTTTTGAGTAAGATATATTGTAATCAACCAGCGCACTAGTCTAATGATTGTAGCAGTTTTATTCTTAGACACGTCAAGTGTAATGAGAAACAATGAAATGCTTCGGGTAAATGTTTTTGAAATGTTAAACTACCGGGTTTTGATGCCAAATGTGTATCTGAGCAATGTGAATTTAAAGGAAAGAAATGAGATGGAGAAGCTTAGGTATGAGAACACTTACCTATCATTTGGCACCGGGAAAGGTGAAGTATTACTGGTAGAAAAGTGGAAATTCAAGGAAAGGTTGAAGGATATGATGGTTAAAGAACATGACAATAAAAAGGTGGGAAACATGTGTAAACAGACATAATCATTACTCATCTTTTCTTGGGTTTGGAATTTTTTTTATATAAATTTAATATTGATAATATCTGGGTTAGCTTTGTATGTGTTTTAGGTGATCCAACTATGTGGAATTTTAGTTTATATGATGGGTCTTCTCTAATATTTCTCACTTAGCTTACACAGACAACTGATTGAGCTTTTGAACTCCACATCAGCATCTCTGGTGAGGGTAAACAAAGTAAACTGCGTTAGTCACAATCACAACCTATTAGCGAACGTTAGGCGATCTCCATATTTTCATAGTTGATCAGTTACAGAAACTTCCCTCTGACTTTTTCTTTGCTTAGTTTTATTTTTTCTCTTATTTAAATTGTTGATTAGAAAAGTATTTTATCATTACGTGGACCTCTGCCATTCCCAGCTCGTGTGAACTTCGAATCTACTAGAAAATAATATAAACTAGTAGAAACTACCGGAAAAACCAAAGAGACCACAACCACTTGGAGCCATATTATATTAACATTTATGCATCTTATACTCGAGTTTTGGAAATAGAAGAAGATGATTAGTTGATGAAAAAATGTGTGCCAAGCCATATTTGATGTGAAGCTTTGCACTACATCAAAGCAACATAAAATTTACAACCAGGAACACTTAGGAAACTTGTTATTTCCACATGGGGCTGTTGTATTTTCGACTTTAGAAATTGATCATCAGCATGCACATGTCATGGGATCATCAGCATAAAATTTCTACTTTCCACTTTTAGTTGGGAGTCAAGTGTTTGACAGGGGATTGTACCAAATTTGGGAGTAATGGGAAGGGTTAAACTTATACCTCCGCCTTTGGTGGACAAAGGAGAGAAAAGGAGTAGGGGTATTTAAACTTATCCACGGGAAGAAGCCTGGAAATAGTGGGATGGAAATAAGTTTCATGCAGTCTCATAAAGAAGGACATTGTTCTTACCATTGGCAGACACGGCGATCTCCTCATCAAGTTCACTGTTACAATAAGACTGGGAGACTGGATCTGGAGAAGTTAGTGTAAGGTACCGGAACAGTTGAATAGGGAAGTAGATCAAGTAGAGTAGTTATCCAATGTTCTGGAAATGGAGGGCGGAACCTGACAGGAACTGGGAAAAGCTAAGAGGGGGAGAGGGGGTAAGAACTGAGAGGAAAGATAAACCCTAACACAAAGCTCTGAGTTGCCCCAACCTTCACAATGTCTGGTTCACTGTGGGTATAAGTTAGGTCCAATGGTCTAACAGTTAGCTTCTGATCATTTAACCTTTCTGAACTAAACGATGAAAAGGCAGAAAAGTAAAAATAATCACTCCTGGATAGCTATATGTTTTGTGGGAAGACAAATAAATTTTAATATATTTTTCTAATACAGTGATGAAAACTTGTCAACAGTCTGCTATTTTTTCACTATTTTCTTCTTCTTTCCCCTCTTACCTTTGATGGTTTTGAAACCACATGGTTTATCTAGGCCGATCACAGACATGAGGAAGTATTAGGACGACTTCTGTATGCTGCAAAGGTTGTGGCTGAAAAGGAAGGGATTTCTGAGGGCTTTCGTGTTGTCATCAACAATGGTGCTTCTGCATGTGAGCCTGCGACTCCTCCAACCTTAAATCGCTACCTTTTGTTGCACCATATCCCATGCATGATCTGTTCAGTTCCCATTTTCTTCCAGGTCAATCTGTTTATCATCTTCATCTTCATGTACTTGGTGGACGGCTGATGAAATGGCCCCCTGGTTGAGAGGACAACCCACCAACGAGCCTCTGCATAATTGTCAGCCATTCATTTTTCTTGGGGACTTTCCTTTTTTATTTCCCTATGAGCTTGTTGTACCCTGGTCCTTCGAATTGCTGAATAACTGTTCAAACTACTCCATGTTAATTGAAGGATTTTGCATTTTGTCTTCTTTCGATGAAGGCATGATTTCATCCTCATCTTCTGCTATGTCAGGCACCATAGCCAAAGGAAACTAACTCGTTCTTGCTCGATTATGCCCAATTTAAACATTCATTTCCATGCGTTTTCCATGACGTTGTTCAATAAATCATCATTTCCATATATCATGACTAGATATGTAAACCTGTGGGGAAGTTTTTATTATTGCCTCTTTGTTGAGTTACCATTCTTAAATTTCACGCCAAGATAACTTTTCATGGCAAGTTGTTGAAAATATCACTTCTGACACTGAAAAATTCTCATTCCTAGATAAAGTATTATTTTTAGATTTTTAATGGAAATGAGTTCTAGTCAAATTTAATTTATTGCACTCAAAGAGAAACAGCCCTGAGAAAAATTGTGTATATTTTTACCCATAAACCTTTGGTGTTATACTCATTTCTGTTAACACACGAGGTGTAGATTTCTACACTTGCCAACAAATAGATGGTTGAGAAGAGAGAGGTCAATGTCTACTTAGATATTGACGTCAATCATCAATGCATAAACTCTTGGACCTAGCTAATTAAAACTTCCACCCAGAATGGCAATTTGTCCTTGCATCTGCAACTCTTGAAAACCAAGCTGTTGACGATAGTAAGGTCACAATGATAATATCATCCAAAATAGCAAGTCCGAAGGGAGAAAACCAGACATTTACTGCCATTGAAAGGAGCATGTTTTCGGAAGGATGATCGGAGTACCCAAGATATCAAAGGCATCTCAGAAGTGAGATCGTGGAATTTGTATGAATTCAAAAATGCCGAGTTTGTAGAGGTATCACAAACTCTCAAACTATTCAAGAGCTTCGATGTTCTTCTGGTTGACTTCTGAACACCAAATCACATTCTAATTAATCGTTCTAAAACCTTCTGAACAGGCTTGTGATTAAGCCAGGCTTGCTGGTATTACAAGGTTTGGTTTCTAGAGCCTGCTAAGTTAATCTATAGCAAGTTACCAATTAACTTAGTTGAAATGTCACAGTTCAGAATAATGATTTGGAGTCGATTTGTTGCTAAGCTGGAAGACTATATAACTCCTTGTGACATTTGTAATTGATTTCATTTTGCCCTTTTCGAAGTTGTGAATTAATGTTTAGACTGAAATCGATTCACCCCCACATCTTATAGACTTCAATACCTACCTATTAATTCTAGAGCATTTATGTTTGACCTAATTCTGATGCACAGTATGAAGGTCTAATATTTCTTTGGTGCTGGCTCATCAGTAATTTTCATTTGAGAAGCAAAACAAAAACTGAATAAGATAGAACGGCCACGAATAGTCCATCTGACAAGATAATTAGATGCTAGATATATCCGAATAGGATGGAACATCATGGATACTACAGACAGCTTCTGCTTTAATGCCTGGTGCTCGAAGGTAACCAGATGGAACCCATCCCTAAATTAACTTGGATCAACTGTTCAGTCGTACCAGATCTTCCCTTGGAACTTTGACTCCAGCTGCTAGCTTCCTGTGTTTATCAAATCTTTGTTAGAAAACAGATTGGCTTTATTTTTACTGGACGCTTGCAAGGTTGACCTAACCTAGTTACCAGGTACACCTGCTAGGCAGGTCTATAAGCCCTTGAGTTGGGTGGCCGTCTGTATGAAAGTTATGTAACAAAGCATTGATATATATGACAGTAGTAGAAGCTGGATCTATACGAGAAGCTACAGAGGAACAATACTAGAGCTCTGGAAAGAACCCATGAGTAAATTTTAGAGCTGTATCATCAGCCTTTATGGTTAATGGTCTGCTACATCTACTAGTTGACTGCTACAAGCCGGAGCAAGTTCTTTTGTGTAAAAGCTTTCCATCATGGGTGATGTCTCATAGTGACTTCTGGAGATCGTTGGAATGCACGTGATCAAACACTGGAGAGTGGGCTGTCACTTGAAGCGCAGTGCGTATTCTCGAGGCAAAAATATTTTTCTCGCTTGATTCTGATACTTTTGTTCAATGTTCCCGTCGTTCTTCAGGTCCACATCTTGTGATGTTTGGTTTTTTGGATCTGCGCAGATGCCCGTCATGTAGCATAAGTCCGTGACAACAATCTTATGCAGGCTGTTCAGGACAACTGGACCATAGGCGAAAACATACTCCTTGCACTGCACATGAAAAATCTCAACGATTGTCAACTATCTCCAACCTCGCATTGTCTTCTAACAGCGCATGGAAGGGAGGATCATACTTGTATGATTATTAATTTAGAAGGATGGACTTACTTCATCGAATATGGTTTGATTTTCGCATTTTTTCAGGAGAGACGTTATTATAGTAACCTGGAAAAAACCCAAAAAGAAAATAAAAAAAGGGTAATAATTTATTCCATGCTGTAGAAATCTCTTCCAGATAATGCACTGCTTTTTACCTGCTTGTCAGTGTCCCCCAAAACGTTGGTGATTTCCTCCAAAATCTTATGGCATGTAATGCATGTTTTGTTTGATTTCAGCTGATAGTTGAGAAACGAGGCTTAGTTTTATCAATCCAGAACATACAAAACCAAATATGTATGCATGGATCTCCATAACGAGTTATATTTGATAGCTTCCAGATAATGCCGTGTTCACAAATGGTGGGAAGGGCTAGAAGGTTTAAGCAGGCCGATGATCTTCAGTGCTGGATGTGTGAGACAAGCACTATAGACGCCATGAGGGAGGACTCCTAAATGGGGCAGTGGCCAAATGCTTGGCCAAGCTTTCTCTAGTTAGGAGGATGATATTGCAAAGTAGAACGAGCTTGACCCCGTAGTTTTTAATAGCCTTGATGATTATTTTTAAGGTCTAATTATGGTCTAATCATTGTGTCCTGTAAGGACTCTACCCACCCCAAACTTGGTACAGGAACCCACCTGACAGATACTAATCGAAGAACTGGAAACTTGGATTTTGATGGAATCAGGCGGATTATATGAGAAGCTTATGACCGAAAAAAAGAAAAGAAGCTCCATCTAAATGTGACCCAGATGCTCTCTATGGACGGTATTTTCTGTAAGATGTTTCGGACTATATTTTCTATAGCTTTCAGCTGAATTAACCCGTTTTAATAAGCTCAAATGGCGTACCGTTGCCTCCAACTCGGAAGGCAGAATGCCGCGGAGCATCCCAGTGAGACTGGCAAGATGGTTACTCAGTCTGCCATCATCTGCCGGGTCTTTCGCCTTTCCTGAAACCTCTGTGCAGGTTGAACTGGAGGGCTCTTCCTGAGAAACCCCGTTCTTGAAGGCACTAATCATCCCCTCAATCTCGAACCTGTCCTGCCCAACTGGGCGATTTCCTTCACAGAAAAAACATCAGTTGCTCCAAACGTTTAGTCAACGGCGACGCTGCTGGAGACAGATTTGCTTCTAAAGTAGGCAACTATTCAAGCGATGAAGTTTAAGATTAGAAGGGGATGGAAGTTGTTCTCCGTCGGACTTACCTGGAGCATCATCTGCTCTAGACATGGAAACGAGCAGAGAAAGACAGAAGAAAATGAAAGGCGCGGTGCCCATCTTCATCCCCTGAGAGAGGGCGACTGGTTTTCACTCCAAATCAAAACCCTAATCCAAGGATGATATCATGGAATGGAGGGACCTTCCCTTCACCTGGAGTTTAAATGGGCGTCTCCTTGGAGAGGAAGAAACTGCACCTCCAAGCAGGGAGGCTTTCCTTTCGTAATGAATGTGATTCCCCAGAGCTAATCATACTCCCTTTGGATGCTCTTATCCAATGATTCCAAGCATGGGATTCATTTTTTATTTTATTTTTTCCCTCTTTTTTTCCATTGAAATCAGAATCCGCGTGTTCAAGGACCTTCATGAAACGTGAAAACGTTGAATCTTGTCTACTTCTCAATTATTTGAATTATTTGCGGAGGGAAAAATGTGGGATGAATCATACTTTTATTTTATTTATTTATCATTTCACATACACATGAGATTTTCGTGGGTCATTCATTAGATGAACAACTCTTCACAGCTGAGCATTTTACCAGATTATAATGTTTATAATGCGAAATTCATGCCACCAGTGATGCCAGATGATCTCCATTTTTCAGCACTACCATGGTTCCCAAAAATTATATCTATATATTTTTTTTCATGGCTGTGTGTGGAGTCCTTGGTGAAGCTTCTATGTTCACATGGGATGATGCTAAGCTCCTATCCCATATTAATTACTATAAATAATCTTGGTAGAAGACATGCATCCACTAAGAAATCGACCAAAGTTTCACCTAATAATTTAAATTTTGGTCCTTCAGCACCATTTTGTCAAAAAATCACTAAATTGGGCAATTTCAATGGCTGAATGTGATCCTTCAACACCCGCTGATTGATTGCATGACTGGACCAGCTGCATTTGCCAGCTTGCTGAAGAACTGGGTGAACTGCTTTCATTCATAATCTCACAGGCATATATCTTTACTATATTAGGGCAAAGGTCGACTGCTGGCCCTTTCCCCATGAATTGGACCAAACTCTGTTAAAAAAAAAAAAACAGGCAGAAACCCAGGAAACAGCTCCACCCAACTCCGGAGTCTCTGGAAAGATCCAAAACAAGCCGCATTCAGCTCAGTACAGCTACTATAAACAGTTATGGGCAACGAGGATCTTATAACGTTGCTCCATCCTCAAGAGGGGCACTGTTTCTTGAGATGGCAGAGCAACAACCAACGCTTGCAACAAATTATATCTGCGGCCTGATTGTCACACATTAATGTGATTTACAAGAAAGAAAAAACCAACAGTCATGAGATAAAAAAAAAGAAGTATATTCTCTCTCCCCTTCAACAAGTAGAGCAGGCTTCTGGGCAAAAGACTAGGAAGCTCATACAACAGCGTTGGCTCCAGCGCGAGCCCTCAAGGCTTCAGCTCTCTTGCTCCTCTCTATCACCCCCACCAACCACTCGGTGGCAGCTTTGATCCCCATCCTGGAAAAATAATATGAAAAAGATCAATAATATGGAAAATGAAGTCTGCCCATTGTGATCCATAATGGATCAGCAGTAAATTACCCTTTAAAATCATCAATTTAGATACTTTTGGGATTGACGAGCCTGTACCCATTATAGAAACAGACTGCAGTTGAGGAGAGTTCTTGGGTCTTACCCTTCATGTGCAGATACAGCTTCAAACATGTAAAGTCGGTCATCTAACTCTTTCAAATCCAGATACCGAGCCACTTCCTCCGCTGATGTTGCGCCAGAAAGATCCTGCCAAAATCAATACCAAGAACCTGTCAGACTTTACATATTCCGCTGTACGATTCTTTAACATCTCCCAATTCCCTTTCAAAGATCCAGGAGATACCGCCAGATCATTATGGAGAAGTGGCAAGGTGGTTGTGTATAAGGGGTACAAAATTTACTATAAAACAATCAAAGGATCGATAAATCGACCACGCAAAAGAAAGAAAAAAAAAAAAGTCAGTTTCACCAATCCATATTCTGAATCAGGAACAAAACCCAGGTCCTAATCCGCAGTTAAAGGCTTGAGATTAAGATATTAACGAATTGATAGAAAGTATTTTCTTTCTTCTGAAGTCACTGAACTATGAATGGTCTTTTTCAATTTAGAGTTCGTTTAAGACCACTTATCTCCTGGTTGGTTCAGTTCCCACATATTCTTACGGCAGAGAATTGCATAAAATCCTGCAGAGTATTACATTTTCACTAATATAGATTCTTAAGCTAGTAGATAAAGATGATTACACTAAGTTTAGAGAACCCTAGACTTCTTTCACGCTGGATCATCTGTTGGTCCACTACAACTCCAAATGGCAAACAATTCAGAGGCAACTCTCGGGCTTAACCATTACATGTCGAACTCCCTTGCACAGAGCATGCACAGAATTGCTGTAAATGCCGGCTAATTTCTCTTTTTTGTCACCAAGGGAATCGGGAAAACCGTGGTTGGCACATTGGTGCTAGAAATTTACCTTAAAAGACCAACATCTCTCTCCCTTTTCATACCTTGTTCTACACCATGCATGCGGATGAGGGTTACTCCCCTTTTGGTATTCTCGTAATGGATGATTAAAGAGATTTGACATGTTTAGTCCAGACCTTGGGACATTAATTGAGAAACCCAAAGACCCTTGACTGGTTATCAAACTGAGCTTGGAGGCCCAATGCAGGAGGAATATCCTAATAAACTACTGATCCCCCTTGCATGAATATTGACTAAATTCCTACTGAAGTTTATAGAAGACGACTTCTGACACACTAAAGACCACACAATAAAAACTTTGTAGGAGCAATTTTTTAAATACTTTCTACATTCATACTTTATCTTCCTCATTATACAGATTACCATTGCGCTAGCCAAGCTTTAAACAAGAGCCATGATCCATGACGTATGGTCAGAACGCTTAATACATTCAATGCAACGTTTGGGCGCAAGTTGATGAACCCAAATGTTCTTGGCTTGGCATCAAATTCAGCCTTAAGGGCTACATGTAATGAGTGCTTCTGTGATTTATTATAACATTCTACAAGCATATCATTGATGTTTTTATCTATGATGTTTCACTGCTGAATTTCTTTATATTTATGAGCTTTAACTTTGTTCTTATAATGGGATCAAGAGAGTAGTAGAATGACTTTCTTTCCACAACTACTGCTGTAAGTCCATGGCAGTTTGCCCATGTATGAGTTGGAAAGCAAGAACTCCTAATCAATGTTACTTGACCACTGAGGGTGTTTACAGGGCCATTTCTGCAGCTCTTTCTTCTTTCAACAGCATCTGCCACTTTCTCCAACTCTAAAACCATTTTGATCCAAGGGCTGGTAAATTTATCTCCAAGCATACATTGCCTCTGAACAGTATCTTCGTCTTGTTATTGTTGACTTTGTTCGTGCGTTTCAATGATGAAAAAATGGAAAATTTATTCAATAACAGAGAATAATGAATTATCAATTCATGATGACAGAATAAATGGAGCTTATGGTTTTATGCGTTTAGTCAGTGATGTGCTCTTCTCCCCTAAGATAGTGGAAGTGCAGGTTCAGTTAACTCTAGATTACTACAACTCAATAGAATACGATTTTTCAGGGCAAAGGAGTGAAACCTCCAACAAGGGAGACATGCCCCCATGGGCCTGTAATTTTTAAATAACAGGATGCCTGGACTGCAGAAACTAGCCCATAGATGTACAAAATATTACTGTTGGAAAGCTAGAAAATCTTCAACTGCTGCTCACTTTATCCCATTTTAAAAGGAAAGTGCTCAACTTTAATAAAAGGCTTCTGAATTGAATTAAAGGGAAGAAAACATAGAGGCCTTTGTATGACTGTCTAAAACACATACACGAATTTTCCTCACCAGTCAAGATTCCCCGACCATCAGAACTAAGTGGACCTGAGCTTCATTGATTACTCCATTGTGTTTGTAGGCTACCTTCATTCATTTTTGTGTCAACTAGAGGTAGAGCAGTGTAGGCTAGACTGCCTTTCGATCAATCTAAGGGGTCTTGAGGTTTCATATTTTGATCTGACCCGTCTAAAGCAGTGAAACTTAAAGGAAAGCTTCTTAAAGTCTTCCAAATTCTTAGAAACGAGAGTGCATTAATCCCTGGGGCAGTAAAGTAGAGGTGTTCACTAGAACTCAAGAAGCTACTGTTGTAATCTTTCAGCTAAGATTAATGAATTCGAAAGAATGGATCACTTGAGGGTCGACATAAGCAACACAATGAATCTATTAAAACCGTCATGGATTAAACGTACGGTTGCTCTTCGAATATTATGCTCTCTCCTACAAGGAAACCAAAAAGAGAAATCAATTCAAAGCCTCGTAATTTTCTCCTCGAGGCTGATTTGGGCACAACAAATGACCCACCCCGTCGTCTTCAGTTGATGGGGGGATCAAATCCCCTGGTGGCAAAGCTCCTGCACCCCCAACAAGCGACTGTTTCTCCGTTTCTAGCAGCTCCTACAGTTTCCCCCTCATTAATCGTTCCCTCAGTGCCAGATAGCTCCACTTCCCTCTGACATGGGTCCACAAGCACGTGTATATTTTTTTGTCTAAAATGTGTGGTAAATTTTCCAAGGAAGTCTATGCTTAATCTTCCACAATCCCAACAACGTGCACTAGAAACGTTACACAATTGGAGAGGAAAATGATCACCGAATAACATTACCACTAGCCAATAACAATAAAAATGATTTATCACATTCATAGGAAATAATCAATGATAGAGCGCAAGGAACAAGATTTTTCAGGATTCCAAATGCTCTGCAAGACAATCTTTACTATCAATCCTTACAAATGATTCCAAAGTCAACTATTTCAGGTTTTCATAATTTTCCAATGAATATAAATAAAAAGTAACTACTAGTGATAAGTTCTATACATAAAGACAGTCAACCAACATGCAAAATTTTGTCATCCGGTTCAATTGTAGTGAATCGCTGAAAGACTTAGAAAATAAGAAATATAAAGAATGGCGAAGAATGGATGGAGGCTTTTTAGTACATTTTTGCTAAGAATTACAGACCGTTCAAGTAATAATAAAGAATCAATAACAGAAATACAAAATAAAGCAGCAATAAGATCGCATATTTTCCTAACCTGTTTGTTTGCCAGTATCAAAACTGGTGCTCCCCTAAGATCCTCATGTCGAAGTATTTTTTCTAATTAACAATGAAAAGTTAAGAACAAAATTTCCATGTTAGGAAAAATAGAGATAGATATTTACGAGCTGAAGAGAGTTAACAGAGTGCTGGACCTAGTCACAGAGTAGATGATTCTCAAAGCCTGTGATTCAATAGAGTTCAAAAGTTCAGATTTCCCTGATGTGCACTAATGTCAAAAACGAACTAACCTAAAGCCGATTTCGAGTCTTCAAAACGGGATGGACAAGCAGCATCTATTACGTATATAACAGCATGCGCCTCCTCATAATATTTCTCCCATATTGTGCGTAGACCAACCTGCCAGCGCAAGAAGTTCACAATAAGTATAGAAAAGAAAACCAAAATAGAATCGTCTGAGATTCCTCAAATCCCAAAAAAGCAGCACTCCTATCCTTGACAACTGATGTTATATTCCATCAGAAAAGAAAGACGTATCCTGGTTGGCAGCTGGCTTACCAAACTAATGGGATAAGGCCTCATGGTAATTATGACAATGAACTAATCATGTCATTCATACAAAAAGCCGTCTTATACTCATGAAATATCATCCAAACTTAAAAGTTAAAGGAGGCAAAAAATCCAAACTCATACATGAATCATGAGCATAGGTGCTGCTTGTTCAGTACCATTTTAGTTTTGTTTGCTTAAGACGAATTTATCTTTTTCCATGTTCAATCCATCCTCCAGGGAACATATTATTGCCTGTTGTTTTCTTTTTACAGGGGCAGGGGTTTGGTTTTAATTCCCATTTCTCAAGAGTGTCCTTACGACTCAAACAGATGATGAAAAAAGACAATAACGTTAAGTTTTCTAACAAAATAGTTCACATACCTGGCCTCCTAGGTCCCAAAACACAAGTTTTGCGTTTGCCACTTCAATACGACCGATGTTGAGCCCAACAGTGGGGACTATCCGATCAGATGGTAGGCCTTCAGAGTTTGAGTATAATGACTTCAACTTCTCCAACAAAGTCTACAAGTTGAAAATGGCTCAGTCACCAAATGTGTGTGCAGTAATGTTGACAGGACTTTTAACACACAACACCAGAGGTCAATGTATAACTCAAGGATAAAGTCTATTTCCTAATTCACTACTCATTCTCCAACAGTACGTACACAGATGTGAAAGAAGTGACGTTCATATCCTAATGTAGATGCGTACATTACTGCACACACATCTGTAGATGATGTACGCATCTACAGATGGAATGCTCGTTAGTGATAATATGAACCAAAAAAATGAGGCAGTGTTTTGTCATCAAGAACACATCCACGGATAGAAGAGGACTCTCAGTTGTATTGATCTCTGAAGGGTACTTAGGCTTCCCAATCCTGACAGGAACATTTTTCAGCCTTCTTTTATGACAAAATGCATGTGACGAACAGATTCAGTCTTCAAGATTTTAATAGGATATATTTCTCTGCGCAGCATCATCCCTTGAATCTTCCCAGAAAAGGAAATAATTCTAAAAGGTAAGTACATGATATTTTCTAAGATAGATAATGAAAGCTTTTGCACTCGAAGAAAATAGTAGTCTGTTTTGAGTTGCAGATATTCCCTATAGTCGTCTACAGTGATTTGACCACTCTATTACAGAGTCAAGTTTGATCCAATATCTAAAAACTGAATCAGAAAGCCTTCCGCAGCTTCAATATCTAAAGAAACTAGACATCATCAAAAATTCTCTAGTAGCAAATTTCTATAATGATTCAATGGGCAGAATAAACGTTAATCTCAATGTTCGCTTCTTGTGTCACCATTAGTGACCTCGTCTCCATTTCAAAGATACAGAGTTCTTTGTCCGCATTTCCAAATTGAATATACATAAAAACTAGTCAACTTGGAGATTCTAATTTATAACCACCTTATATATATATATATACAAAAGCCTCGAGATAATGATTCACTTTGTGAGGAAAGAAAGAAACATGAACAAGGAAAATAAAAATGATTTAATTCGTTGGATCACCAAAAAGAACTAGTAGACCATGGGAAAAGAACATGAAATAAAATAAGTAAAAAAGATTTTACAGTTTTTCCAGCCTTGTCGATTCCAAGAATAAGTACATGGAACTCTGTCTTACTGAAAATGTACTTCCATAGGCCATAAAACAGGGAGAACATTTCTATCCGTCTGCTTTGGCCTTGATTTTCAATTCCAGGCAATCTTCAAGAATCAGAAGCAACATTCATAAACATAGCTTCGAATAGCTGGTGGCATCATCAGGAATCCTACAAAGGAAACAGTTATCAATGTCTCACAGTTGACATAAACAATCAGCCCATCTGAAAACTGTAGACAAAGTCTCATTTTGTGATCTGCTATACAGCTGCGATTTTGAAACACATCACCTCAGTTGAACAAAAGTGCCCGACATCAGACTATCCAAGACAATCAGATGTGTCCACGATGTTAAATACATTAGCCCTGCAGTAGTGCATAAGCAGTAATTTCTATTTTGAAAGTGTATAGTACGAAGTAATCATTAGTCACGAAAACAAGAACAAAGATATAGCCTCATGTATACAATCAGATCTCAAAGGTGAAGAGAAGCCCTCTATATAAGATATATTTCCTTTTCTTTAAGTAAAGCGTGCATGGTCATCACTAATTATGCAATCACATCTTGAGAAAAAAGGGGAAATCTACTAAAACAAGATGGATGAGAAGAACAAATCCATGAGTATATACCTAATCAGCACACAGAAACAAAGACATCTCTCAAATTGCACAAGGCTTAAGAGACTACGTTAGTGATTGCCCATTGTAGACAAGAGTAATCAGAGTCTTACTTTCATCTTTAGTATGCCTAATTTCCCATAAGTGAGAACGTAGTATGCCCATTAGCTTATTTAGCAGTATCAAGTCACTGAATCTTACCGATAAAAAATTCACATAAATCCCACACATGAAGAGACCCGTATAGAAGTAGAAAGCTTGCTATGAAATAAAGAAAGCATCTATAAATGACCAAATAAGATAGCCAAGAAACGAGCTAACACCTATTGCATGAAGATCCTTAAAAAAATGGAAAGGTAAAACTCAACTACGAAGATAAAATAGCATACTGATAACCACTTTTATCTATGGCAATGCTTTACATAGTGGCCCTTCCATCATCAAATCAATACACCAATTCATGAGTGAATATTGTGATGAAACAAACTTCTGAGCACTAGATGAGGAGACAAACCACCTTATTATCCCTATAGTTATGCTACCCAGTAGATAGAAAGCAGAGAAAAGGTGGAAAATGAGTAGATTTGCACAGACAACCATAACAGGCACAAACGAGAGATTTTTCAGACTTGAAGGGTCCACAGAGATATCCCAAACATTTTCCATATCCATTGAAAAAAGAATCATGGCTTGCCCTAAAGAAAAGCCTATTTCCAAATGGTTTAGCAACTTCAAACGGGACTTTGGCACTACTGGATTTATGGGGACCAATATGAAATGGTTCGAGCGATGGTGAAAAATATTGATGGCTAATTCAAAGTTTTATCACGGTATGAAATATCTGTTAGCCAATCTAGAGCAGGAATGTCAAGCTGTTTGCTCTCCAGGTTTCCTATTGTTTGAGATAGCCTGGACATACCTCAAATTACTCATAAGATAGACATCTTATTAATAATATAATGCTTGAATTATAGCTACTAGTTCCAGACCAGCGATGCTGAACAACCTCAATTCAAGATTGAATTCTAGCCAAATAAGCAAAAAGGGCCTTGAGGAAATAAAAGCAGAAGAAATATTGCCACCCTTCGACAAATAACAGATGCCAGAATACTAGCCAAGAGAAGAAAGAAGTGGAATCCAGATGCCCCAAGACCTAAAGCGACAGAAAATATATTCATGCCCGGTAACTAATGAGAGAAACGGTCGGAGAAAATAGAGAAAGAATTATAAGAAAAGACTAACCTGCTTCTCTTTGATGCCCTTATGTAGAAACGCAGAAAATAACTCTTCCTTCTCTGCATGCGCCCTTCATTAACCCATGAGAGGACCTTCAGTTGTCGTGATTCAGGAAAATAATATATTTCACAATAAGCAAGAAGCTCAGAGAGAGGTGGATCTTGGGAGATGGGACATCTAAAAGGTCACAAAGAGAAGGCAGGTCACCCCATAGAGACCACAGGCACGATCATCGGGCTCTTCATGTTGCAAACGTCGAGCTGTAGAGATTCGGATCGACACAGACAGAGATCCACAGATGTAGACAGAGAGGGAATGGGATTTATAGGAGAGCGAACGGGAAAAGAGGGAGATCATACCTGATGCACCCACGAGGGGGGTGGACGGGTGGGCGACTGCGGACAGAGAATGGCTACTCTACGTGGAGGAGGTCCAGTTTGGGATCTGCGAATCGGAAAGCTAGGAGGAGGTCCCCAAGATTAAAATTAGACAGAAAAAGTCCTCCTAATCATGGGGCCGATCTGAGACCGAACACCTGAGGTCTCCCGATCCTGACTGTGAAGGGACCCGGCCCAGAACCCTCCCGCCCCCCGAACCCAGATGGAAGAATACGTCTTCACCCAGTGGCCGTAATCAAATTTTGGTCCCCTGTACCTCATCATCTTCATCGTATTCTTAAATCAAATCTGATTACCTAAACCAAAGAAACCTCCCCTCTCTCTCTTGTCACATGGACAATTGTAGAATCAAATGAAGGAATTATTATCAAAAATCCTTTTTTTGTTTCACCTATTCTAAATTTCGTTGGAATGATTTGGCATAGGTTGTCAGGAACTAGTAGATTTATGGACAAGTCCCCTGTTTCTTTACATTAGGTTCTTGAAAACCGTCTTGACGTTTTGACTTTTTCACTTTGGGTTGGCCTCAAAGAATATTCTTCAAATTACTTGACTTTGATATAGAGTATTGTGTTGGTTTTTCTTAAAGGCAATGATGCCCTTGGTAGAATGACAAGTTGGTGCGTTTGTTCAAAAGTAAGGATTGCTAACAATATTTAGGAAATTGTAAGCTTAGGGATCAGTCCCACATCATTTTACGATAGGATCTTGAAAACCATTAAAAAATTAAGATTTTGTCCCGTGGGTTTAGGTCAAAGAATATTCAAAAAAATATTTTTGGCTTAAGAGTATTTGTTATTTTCTTTAGGATAATGAAGACCTTGGTAGAATGATACAATTAGAAAACAGTTAACAATATTTGTCTTTAAGGCAAGAAATTTTATATATTATTTCAATAAGTTCGTTAATATGCTAACAAAACAAAACTTATTTTAAATATTTCAAGATTTTTTTTAACAAAACAAACTTATTTTAAACATTTCGTGAATAGCATTTGTTAGTTCGCAAAAGCCATGTACTTTGAAAATCATATGCATTGAAAAATAGTCAATAATCCTTAAAAAATATGTCATTTTTGCTTAATGTAAATAAAAGGGGAGACATATAGAGCAGGTATAGAGGGAGAGGGATGGTCAAGAAGGAGAGCCACAGACGGATGAATCGTGGAGAGAGAAAGAGGGGGAGCGGGGGGTGGGGTTAGGGATGATGCTACTCCTTGAGAAAGGGCAAAGAGTGGTGGGGCATAAAAAGGGAGAGAGGGGCTTGGTTGAGATATTTTGGAGAATGATTATCCCTTATCAATCGTGGGTACAAAGATCGAACTCCACTTTGAGTTGGCACGAGTTTGAAGGAGGCAAGACAAACTTGTTAGAATTTGAATTAGGGCAATTCTATCTTTTGTCCCTAGGTGGTCACCCTAACCCCATGTAATAAGAGGTGGCGACTACCATTGTAATTGTGAAGAAAGACCAGCAATGTTCCCCCAAGTTAAAAGTGGTCCGATCTTCAACAAGTGGTATTATAACTCAGTGGAGAGCAACGCGAAATGGGTAGCGGACCGCAAGTGTGGGAGCTCTGGCGCCCAAATCTGGTGCACAAGCAACTAGGCAATATACTTCACTAAATCAAAGACAATACGGATCCTAAGCTGGGAGAACACCTTTGTATGCGCCTTCAATTGAAATCAAAAGAAATGTAAAGTCAATGTATGAATGAACTTGGGTGTTGTCTGTTGTCGGTTCTACAAAGGCCGAAGTAGAAGCAACTTAAACATAATGTTATACAAGAGAAAGGTAAAATTGAGAAATTGTCCTTTCTGTCTATGAATTAGTTTCGTTTTCTCCATAAAGATTGTATAAGAGGATAGCACATTTTAAGATCAGTTTCCTCTCTCCCTCTTTCTATTTTCCTCCATTTTGGCATCATTGAAATTGAGTATTGCTGTCCTGTCTGATAGCGAAGTTGATGAGTAAACAAACCTCGCACAATAGATAGGCGTGCCTAGATTGTCTCTAACATTAAATCTAGCTCATGAAAAATATATTTCAGAGTGGGATTAGTTTTATGATGTGCCTATGTGCATGGGTTCAATGAATAAATGAGAAAAATTGTATTAAAGTGATTGAAAGCTATTGAATGTCTTCTTCTGCATGTCTAACACATCATAATGAACATTCACACGTCATATGCGAATCATAGTCTTTTTTCCTGCATCTTCTAGTTATTTTGTACGTGGTATATACCTAGGGAATCGTTGTCTTCTCCATGCACATCCTTTTCTACTTCCTTTCAGTCAATTATTTACTCAATGTTTTGTACACAGAAGCAAAGAAAATGGTGATATATTTCATGACGTGTGGGACAGTTGCTTCTCCGTTTGTCTCAATTCTCATAGAGCCAACAAGAGCGACAGTTGCAGCGGTTCAAGGTGGTCATGATATACTTTTTATCTCGTATAATAATTCCTTGAATAATTATCTAAGGTACCTTTAAACTCTTCAATAACACCACTTCGGGTGGAACTATGCCTTTTAAACACGATCAAAATTTCTTGTTGTTGGAACAAAATTTTCATATACCATGAGAAAAGAAGATATGTATGGCTTTTTATAGCATGATATAACGAAGGCATTGTAATGCAGAGTCTAAGAACATGAGACTTCCTCTACAGTTACCTGCCCCATCAAAGCTGTCAAAGAATATCTCATCTCGACAGCGAGTAGCTGAATTTTTAGTGCAATCTAAACATTTAAGTGCCTTTTGGGATGCTGCCACTAACAAAACGCATAGTTATCTAAATAATGCATGTA